ACGTACTAATGACTGGTCACATGACCTAACTGGTGATTAGTACTTTTAATCTTACCTGTTAGCAGGGATTTAGCATTCTGGTATGTCAGAGCCCCTCTTATCTGCCGTTTTGCGAGTCACTTTGGAAGGAAAAAGACAAAGGGGCGCGGCTATCGCGATGGGGATTTAGGACTTTCCAGGGAATAAGTTCATCTGTTTCATATCACGTGACCAGGAATTAGCCAATGAGCATCTAGAATACATATGGGGTATATAGAAATTAACCTAATAAGCTCTAATACCATGCCTACCAGTACAAGTAAATTCTTTTCTATTGCATACATCTACCTGGAAAGTTTTTTTGTCATATTTGCAGGCTTTCAGAAACACTATATTATCCCATAAAAATTGTAATATATTTACGAATTAAAGTCCATATAGACCAATCAAACCTGGTTTATCTGGACAACTAGGACAGCATTCACCATCCTTCACTGTAGGTGAGGTGTTGTTTTCACATTGCGGCACTTCACACGAAAGTGAGTAACACATTGCCCCTTCTTCCATACAAGTGCAATGTATACATGGATTACTAGTCTCAAAATCCCCAAGAGGATATCGCCTTCCTTCATAATCACAAACTGAAAATATACAATGATTAAAAATTAGCTGTCTTACATCTTGAAGCTGCTGAAGTCTTAGGAAACTGACATGTCCATTGCTGTCTAATGCTACTTGCCAGGTTGGCAAGCCATTCTGTGACCTAATTTGAGTAGGGGCCATATTATATTGAAACTAAGATGACACTGTTATACAATGTTGTATAAATAAATATATATATAATATATAAGACCAATAAAATGCCTACTTAAGTGAACGCTCATATTATAACATAACACTATTAAACACAACATTCAACACTTTTATCATAAGATTAAACTTACACTTGATGTAGAATTACTGCTGATGGTTCTTGAAATATTAACCTAATTTGATAATTCATTTTCACTCAAATATTATTCTCAAAAGTAATCAATTTAAGTTCACCTACATGGGGGAGATGGTGTAGGTGTCACCGATGTAGGACAGTGGGGACAACACTTTCCTGGTGGTACGATTGGTATAGATCCATCACCACACCTTATTATATTGGCACAGCTAACACCCATACAATCTAAATATTTTTGAAAATTACAACTCATATTCGTTTTCTTTACAGCATTCGATGTATTTTTCAATTACCAATAAAAATCATTTAAAAAGATCTATTTCATTTATATGTAAAAATGTAATGTGTATTATAAAGTATAAAGAACACGGGGAGTAAGTCACTCACCTCTCTTTATTAAAATTATATAGGCTACATTGTATAAGAGTATAATAGCGAGATCAATAGTGCAAAAATAGTTCATTCATGGAACGAAGCGTGAAACTTTCCACAATATCATCATAATACTATCCCCTTTGATTTAAGAGCCAGAGCCATTTTTGTGGTCCACTAGAATGATCAAAAAGTAGTAAGTACCCCCTCCCACCAAATCCCATGGGGGTGGGGAGATATCGAAATATTTTTTTCATAAAAAATTTCTTTGAATATGGTCATACTACAGTTTTAGAGTGCTATTTTCATGGTAAAGAAATTTTGCAAACATAAAAAGATGATTTATCATCAATTTTTATCATTGTTAAAGACTAATCATGGGCGACGCCCACTTTTCATACCTTGAACATTTAGGTTATTAAATCTCTATCATGGGTTGAACAAATAAATGTAATTCAGTTTTCTGGATGACACCAGATACCTTTTTGATGTAAGGTGCTATAATTAATCTTTGCATTTGACTTCTTAAAGGCTTAGACCATATCACACCCCTGTTTAGAAGAAAGCAAGCAACAAATGTCCCAGATCTACAACATGTATCCACTATTCTATGTACATGTATGTCGAGTCTCTATACTCTCCTGAAGAGAACCTATGCTACAGACACAACTGTCCAGAATTTAGATGATGATGTGCTTAAACAGTTTGATGAATGGTGTGCTGACCAAGTGCCTAAACAGTTTGATGAATGGTGTGCTGACCAACAGAATGTACCAGTCTTCAAGCTTTGGTTTCTGATTATTTAAATTGAAATACTGTGCCTTGACTATGTAAGGGCTAATAGGACAGGAGAATTTTCCTCTTTATTTCCAGATGGTTTCTCTTTGATTTTCATAGTTGTTAAAGACTAGTAATAGGCGACGCCCACTTTTCATATGCTGAACATTTAGGCTATTAAACCTCTTTCATGGGTTGAACCGGAACCAGAAAGGCCGCCACAGTCACAGTCTGCAGTCTCTAAATTCTCAAGAGAGCCTATACTACATATACAGAAGCTGTCCAGAATCTAGATAATGAAGTGATAAACAGTTTGATGAAAAGTGTGCTGACCAACAGAATGTACCAGTCTTTAAGTTTTGCTTTCAGATTATTTGAATCGAAATACTGTGCCTTAACTAAGTGTAGGCTACTAGAGAGAAAAATTTCGCTCTTTATCTCCAGTCAATTAGCAAGCTTATCACCTGGTTTTTTGTTTTTTGACCTTGTCAATATACTTGCTGAGTACCAGTTCAGTATATCATCAGAACTCAAAGTTCAAAAATGGATAGCTTTTGGAAAAGTAAAAAATTTGAAATATCTCACTTCCCATGAAATTGCGTCTCCCCTTATTTCATGCTCCCACAGGTTCAGACACTACACCAGCAAAGGCTGGGAAAATGATTTGGGTGCCAGTGTAGAAAACATTGCCCCAAGCTTCAGATGCATGCCAAATGCTAGTAAAATGCAGGGATTGTAATGGACATGACACCTAGCTCAGTGATAATGATAATAGAGTGTTGAAGTGCTTAAATGCACAAAATAGGATATTTGAACTGCAGTTAAGATACCTAATAAGGTAACTTGTATCAATTAGTCAAAGTGCTCTCATTAAAAGTCAAAATAATGTATCATTAATTGTGAATTATATATTATTATATCTTTATATCTAAAAGGGATGTGGCCTTTCAATTGACCTACTTAAAGCATTTATCATCTTAACATAAATAACTGACTTATCTTATCAATTTTATTCAGCCTTATTAGGTAATTTTCCTATTCATAATAGAAGACTCATTAACTTGTATTAACATTATGTATTAACATGTTGATAAAGTGGGTGTCGCCCTTGGTCAGGCTTTAATAATGAATATCCATGAGAAATACGGATGCAATCTTGAAAATTGTTTTTAAACACTGAAAATAACATACTAAAAATGAATATAGATCATATTTAAAAAAATCAACAAAAAAATACTTCCCTCCCCCCAGGATTTGATGGGAGGGCACATTTGCAATTTTTCAGATATCATCAGGACACCATTCCCTTTGATTTAAGAGCCAGAGCCATTTTTGTGGTTCACTAGAATGACAAAAAAGCACTTGCATCTTTTTGTTGAGCACTGTTGTTTGCAGCTGCATTTTACTAGCATTTGGCATGCATCTGAAGCTTGGGGCAATGTTTTCCACACTGGCATCCAAATTAATTTCCCAGCCTTTGTGGTAATGGATTCCCAACTCAATTGTGAGGGTGAAGCGAGGACTGACATAGGTATAATTGTCTGGAACCAACTTATGCAACTTATGGTGGGATGTTCTCAATTTGAGTTGTTTTCTTTGTGAACATTTCTTGTCTTGCAGCATTTACAGTTATTTCATTATTGTCTCTATTGTATAAAATCACAACAAAACGTTCAATAATTGGAATCCAGATATAGTGTCTGAACCTGTTGGGGCATGAAATAAGTCGAGACACATAGTCCTACCATGTCAAAGGGCAGCTGCAATTTCATGAGAAGTGAGATATCTCTAATTTTTTACTTTTCCAAAAGCTATCCATTTTTGAACTTTGAGTTCTGATGATATACTGAACTGGTACTCAGCAAGCATATTGACAAGGTCAAAAAACAAAAAACCAGGTGATAAGATTGCTAATTGACTGGAGATAAAGAGGGAAATTCCCTCTCTGATAGCCCACACTTAGTTAAGGCACAGTATTTCGATTCAAATAATCGGAAACCAAAACTTAAAGACTGGTACATTCTGTTGGTCAGCACACCTTTCATCAAACTGTTTAGGCACTGGGTCAGCACACCATTCATCAAACTGTTTAAGCACATCATCATCTAAATTCTGGAAAGTTGTATCTGTAGCATAGGTTCTCTTCCGGAGAAAATAGAGACTCGACATACATGTACATAGAATAGTGGAAACATGTTGTAGATCTGGGACATTTGTTGCTTGCTTTCTTCTTCTAAACAGGGTTGTGCTATGGTGTAAGCCTTTAAAAAGTCAAATGCTAAGATTAATTATAGCACCTAACATCAAAAAGGTATCTGGTGTTATCCAGAAAACTGAATTACATTCATTTGTTCAACCCATGATAGAGATTTAATAATCTAAATGTTCAAGGTATGAAAAGTGGGCGTCGCCCATGATTAGTCTTTAACAATGATGGAAATCAATGATAAATCATCTTGTTTGTGTTTGCAAAATTTCTTTACCATGAAAATAGCACTCTAAAACTGTAGTATGACCATATTCAAAGACATTTCTTTATGAAAAAAATATTCCTATATCTCCTCACCCCCATGGGATTTGGTGGGAGGGGGTACTTACTATTTTTTGATCATTCTAGTGGACCACAAAAATGGCTCTGGCTCTTAAATCAAAGGGAATGGTATTCTGATGATATGTGGAAAGTTTCATGCTTCGTTCCATGAAGGAACTATTTGCCTGTTTTCTTGCACTATTGATCTCGCTATAAGACTTACTCCCCATGATAAAGAATATGCATTTATCGAAAAGTAATAAGCCAATATAAGTGCATGCAAAACGTTGATCAAACCTCAATTTAAATGAGTCAAAAAGTGAGTTATTAATTTCAAACACATCAGTTGACTATGTCATGTTAATTACTTTCTCCACATTGCTGGCAACATTCGCCGGGTGGTGTGAACAAGGGTTCAAATTCTCGGCACTTTTGCAGGGGACAGTCTACCAAACTGCAGTCTGAAATTATAGTTAAAATCAGACGTGTTACATGTTAACAAAGTTTGACCATATCTACATTTGAATAGGGCAGACACACGGCGGGCAAAACATATGGTTTTACAGCAAGATATCCCCACCAAATACAAAACTAATTAATTCAAAAATTAATGCCGGTGGCGAACGGTGAGCCCACGCGGTTAATGTGCCAGCTACGTAAGTCAGATATATGAGCAAAATCGTATATTGGTACTATAAGTATGAATAACATTAATGACTCCCACCAGTTGGATCAGTTGGTGTTGGAGTATTTGTTGGTCTAGGGGTCCTAGCAGTTGTTGGTTTGTTAGTGCTTGCTGTTGCTGGTTTGGCTGTGCTAGCTGTTGTTGGTTTGTTAGTGCTAGGTCTTGTTGCTGGTTTGTCAGTGCTTGCTGTTGCTGGTTTGGCTGTGCTGGCTGTTGTTGGTTTGTTAGTGCTAGGTCTTGTTGCTGGTTTGTCAGTGCTTGCTGTTGGTGGTTTGGCTGTACTAGGTCTTGCTGTTGTTGGTTTGACTGTGCTAGGTCTTGTTGCTGGTTTGTCAGTGCTTGTTGTTGCTGGTTTGGCTGTACTAGGTCTTGCTGTTGTTGGTTTGACTGTGCTAGGTCTTGTTGCTGGTTTGTCAGTGCTTGCTGTTGGTGGTTTGGCTGTACTAGGTCTTGCTGTTGTTGGTTTGACTGTGCTAGATCTTGTTGCTGGTTTGTCAGTGCTTGTTGTTGTTGGTTTGGCTGTACTAGGTATTGCTGTTGTTGGTTTAACTGTACTAGATCTTGCTGTTGTTGGTTTGGCTGTGCTAGCTGTTGTTGGTTTGTCAGTACTGGCAGTTGTTGGTTTGGCTGTACTAGGTATTGCTGTTGTTGCTTTGTTAGTGCTAGCTGTTGCTGGTTTGGCTGTGCTAGCTGTTGTTGGTTTGGCTGTACTAGGTCTTGCTGTTGTTGTATTGTTAGTGCTACCTGTTGTTGGTTTGGCTGTGCTAGGTCTTTGTGGGCTTTCAGTGCTAGGTCCTCTTGTTGGTGTTGATGTAACTTCGGGAGAAGCTAAATGTATAAATCAAATTCTTAATTATGTCATTAATTCACGATTTGAATTTCAATTTCTATTGTAGGACAAAATGGATAATGTATGGCAATTAATTGAATAATATCTTATTTTTTTGACCATCAGCAAAATTTTGGTATCATTGCAAAGCCCCAGTACCATAGATTTAGGAATCTTCTCTCGGGCTATTGCTATGGAAACGGACGTTATAAATAACGACCATTTTTAACGAGCATTAATAAGCAAAACATGTATTTGCGAATATCTTTTTTATTATCCATCAGATAATTATGACACGGGTATCAAATGAAAGCTTATGATGCCACATTTGAAATGAGGTAAGAATTATGTAAATTATCTCATTAACATAGCAATTGTGATGTCATAACTGAAAATCTTTCAAAAGATTTAATGTAAAAAATAGTTATGTACCTATATAATCCCATTATTTATTAAATGGTAATGTATACGATGGCTATTTCAAGCAAATTTCAAATAGTGGTTTTTGAAAGACTTTTTATTCGAAAAATCGTCAATTCATTTAAAACTAAATTTTAGAGGTCACAGATTTTTTTAAATTTAAGTGATAGATTACACTTATGCATTATCGTCACTGTATTTTTTAGAAAAAGAAAGAAAATTGGTTGAAAAATAAACGGGAAATGAACTCATATGCATGAAAGTGGTTCTGAAAAAATGCATTTAATTAAAAAATTTAATTCTCATAGAAACCAGTGTTCCGGTAATATATTTAAAACACAATTCAATCTTCTTTTTAACCTAGTAGGACAATCAGCATTGGTAAAGTTTAACATATGTATAGAAAAGATTGACAAAGAAGATGTTTGCCACCTGAATGACAACACTAAGGGTGCAGGATTTTTTTAGATGTAAAAATATTTAAGTGGCACATTAGATAACATTTTATTATTGAAATAGTATGTCCTTTATTCAGACTTTGCAATGGTGTTAAAATGAAGATATGTTTTACATTGTATATTTGTATATTTGATGATTAAGCATTTTCAACATTTATTTAAAAATGGCGAGAATTTTTTTTCAAAAATGAATATTTGAGAGAGATGTGACTTTCTTGTATAAGACTTTAGCGATACGATCCTTTCATTGCATCCTCTACTGCATGGTGCTATATTTTGATTCGTAGTATAAAACTAAGATTAAAACCATATTTAAGGTTGATTTTTGAAAAGTTTTGGGCTTCTAGAATATTAAAAATGCAAAAATCTTGAAATACAAGTTCTCAAATGGATGAATTCCAGGTAAACCCATGGATGACACATGTTGTTTCGACTTTACAGGTTTCAGTGTACTTATTATGGAATACACGAGGTCACCTGTTATATGGTTATAAAGTTGTATGAAAAAATTGTATGAGAACAGCTCACAATTTGCCCCCGAAGTACCCACTTTTTGCTAATAGAGTTTTATAAAAGCTATTTGCATAAACTTTTCTTAAACTTAATCAATGTTATTTCTATGTTTGTCATGTACAAAAAAGAAAAATTCCAATGATACTGAAAAAATAAAAAATATTGCCTCTAATAGGGGTGTGTCCTAGGAGGTATAAACCCTCAATAACGGGCACTGGCAATGGGGTGGTAATGTTCACATCAAAATTATAAATTTTAAAAAGACATCTTGTCGGTATAAGAAATTAAAATTAATAATTTGTATCTTTCGGGTGCACGGGGACAATAATTACCTGAAAGCACCACTCTTTCATAGTAATCCATGTTTCTACTGGCTCGGGTTGATCCGGTGTCATCCCTATTACTTCTGCTTATGATACACATCCGATCGTTTGGAACATAGTCCGCAGATCTGCACACAAAAACAGTCATTTTAATACATCTTTCGAGGCACTCTTCCAGTGACAGTCCTCTAGCTCTGTCATCGTTGTTGCCAGGGAGATATTGACCTTGTTTACGGACCCAATATACACCGTTCATCTGCATGGGAGCTTCACCTACAATGCAGTAGTTGAAATATGAAACATAACACGACTAGATCAGTCAGAGCCTTTTTAAAGTTCATACACCGTGTTACGTATGGAAAATAATGTGTAAGTGAAGTGTATCATGATTTGTCATGTATGAAAAACAATAGATCAAAAAAGAAGTCTTGAATGATCCGTCACTTAAGGAATATGTAATATCATAGAAATTGGTAAGCAATGATTTGTCAATTTTTAAACCTAGTATGCATTATGCTCTGTTATATTAGTTTATATGCTTACCATCTCTTGGATTGGGATAGGAGATAATGGTTGATTCAGTTGCCGGTCTTGTTGAGTTATCTGAAATGAATGTACAATGTTCACATGATTATAGATAAGAGGAAAGGAGGATAATTGAAATGTGACAAAATATATGGCATAGTGACAGTGATATGTTTTATAAAACGTATAGTTTTTAGTATCGCCATCCGGACATGCTTGGAAACGCAATTTCCATTTCCGTAGAATTGGGTTAATAGAGACTTTAAGTGTTCACATACAGCAACCTATACGTATCAATCGCCCATATACAAATACATGTAACTTTCTCATTGTTGAGGTGATCTTCACAGTCGATTGACTTTTCTACTATTCAGATTTTCTTGAATAAATACAAGTGAAAGCTATACTGGTGAATAACAGAATATGTGAAAATCAGAAAGATTGACCGTCTAGTTATTTCTTGAGAAATATTTTAATTTAACAATGTTTTAATGAGAAAATGCCCTTTTCAAATAAAAAAGCACAATCCAGATTCTCTTTAAAGAAAGACTGATCATTTTGTGGGAAACCAAATGTTATTTAGAAATACACCGTCCGGTTTTTGAAAAAAACGTCGAATGTTATGGATTAGTGGGAAATATTATCATTCCGTTGTATATAATGGTATTCTCATTTCCAGGCATGGCTTATGTGAGTACAATAGGTTGCTACTAGTCACTGCTGTCTAGTTTCTTCTCACTTCTTTAGATGTATGCATACTTTAGTGATTTAGGATTTAGGATTCATTTGACTAGTGGATCACCTGGAGAACAATAACAAATTCATTAAAAAATCACAACTGTGTACACATTATAAAGGGTACCCATATTCATACTGTCTTATTAAAATTCCAATACGTTTGACTTCGTATTGTAATTGTAAAAAAACTTTATGGACACCCTGCATATCCATTGAGGTAGCCACTAGATGCCATTTAAACTAAGTGTAACTTATTATTGTAATTCGAGGACCCGCTGGACAATATACTTCACCAATTTATCATGTTGCGTTACACGTTTAAAAGTTAAATGAAGTTCCTTAAAGGGGTTTAGCAAATTACAGGATTTACAAAATATTTGAAAGTTCATTAAATATAAACTCTGAAATTCAAACATTGCCATTTTTGGCTATTTTTACAAAATGGCCGACGGACCAGTTCTAAACCTTGGTTCTCCCGTAGTCCGATTTTGTTAAAAAATTAGTGCAATATCGGAAGCATTTGTAACGTCGTGTTAAAGCGCCGTTGTGATCTAAGAAAATTTCCGAAAAGTGGAATAGCTACCCGGGAACAGCTAGCCTTCATACAAAAATGCTTACCTGGAACCTCTACTCGCTCGTAGTAATCTATGTTACCATTGGTTTGTGTGGACCCGACGTCACCTCTATTGCTCGTGCTTATGATGCATATCTGCTGGCGTTGAACATATTCTGCAGATTTGCACTCGAAGTCACCCATGTTAATGCATCTCTCGAGGCACTCTTCCAGTGACAGTCCTCTAGCTCGGTCATCGTTGTTGCCAGGGAGATACTGACCTTGTTTACGGACCCAATATGAACCATTCACCTCAATTAGGGTTTCGTCTACAATTTAATATTTTAAACAATTGCAAGAAATGCTAGAGTCAAGACATATCTAATGGTGTTTGGAGGGGGTGCCAACGACGCCCATATTCTTTGAATTCATACTAGGGACACGTCATTGAAATTCTGATATAATATTTTGAAATAAATGCTTCGCACAGTTGGTCACGTTCCCCCGTTGATTTATTATGCAAGTTACATGTAATGTTCGGGCAACGGAGTGACGGAGATGGACGAAGATACTTCAGCCCACCCCAACTCTATCCATAAACGCTCCCCAGCCCTAACCTCTAACTCTAACCATAAAGGAAAATCTGAATTTTTCTCGACCAACCCCAAATATCTTAGCAACTTTTGACAAACTGATAAGATAAATCACATGTCATATGCTATCCTTTTTTATCCGAGTTCCGTTTCTTTATGGTTCCTAGAGGAATCCGCTTTATTTTTTATATAGAACTGATTTCATGCATCAAAGCACGGTTTTGTGTTAACATTGCAATACAATAAAATCTTTACAGTGTATCGATTATTCGAGTATCGAGTGCTTTTGAAGATTGTGAACTTCACCATTTTACAGGCATCTTTAAATAAAAATAATTATTTGACCATCTATGATAATCTACTTAATCTCATATCAATTCCCTAAATTGATTTTGGACTCTGTTTTTAGATTTTGGACTAATTCTATAGGGTGGCCAAATGATATCCATGTCATAAAAAGATCCCGCTCTCGACCCCGAGTAGCAATCCTCCTCTAGGCTAATCTACAAGCTAAGCCATTAAAAAGTCGATACAAGTATTCTTGTCCTAAAAAAATGTGTTAGTTAAAGAGAAAAAACTTTCCTAAAATCCTTAATGAAATGATTATTCTTCAAAAAAGGGTTACCAGTAAACATTATCAATCTTACCTGTTTTAGCATAACCTATCGCCCCCAATAATAGGGTCATCCCCAGGACCAGACTGTACAACTGCATCCTGATAAAAGTGTTGTTCACCTGTTGAATCCTCTACTCTCGAATTATAATTAGTCGCACTGGAGTTAAAAAAATTGTGCACTAAGGTCCAGTATTTATTGCAAAGCTAAATTATTAATTTAATCTCACGAATGCTTCCATAGTTTCATTCAGATGAGCTAAAACACAAAAATACTGTTATACTGTACACCCAAATGAATCATTTAAAGCATTTCTATATAAATAACATACAATATCACCCCGGATTAGCATGACTACGGTAAAGTCAGATACCGTTGTCACAAATGGCGGACATAACCGTCGCTTCAATTAGATTTTCATGAACTGTATGTTTAATAGAGTACCTAGACTAAATCCCTTTGGAACAACAATCAATCAAAGTGTCTTAATACTCATTGTACAGTTAATAATGTTCTACCATCGAAATAAAGTCTTTAATTTAACCGATCAAAATGAGATACGGGACAACGGACACTGTAATTACCATATGCCGTTGTCTTTCTAAATTACCCAAATTCAGATTCCGTTGTCATTGACGATATCGAAGAGGCTATATTGTGGCGATTCACGACCCAATTTGATCGAAAATGGGATTTCATATGATACATTATCACAAGAGTTTAATGCATGCACAGAATTAACGACGATAAAATCCTATGAAATGAGGACCAAGTGATTAAACAGTTGAAGCGACGGTTATGTCCGCCATTTGTGCCAACGGTTTCTGACCTTACCGTAGTCAGGCTATTCCGGTGTGAATATGCAAATAGTCTCTTAAATGCCCTCTTAAATACACTTTCTAAAGTTCTTTAGAAATAATCTAAAATAGTATATATTCCACTTGACAAATTACCTCTAAGAACCCAGATTGTAAATTAAGTTGTAAAGTAACTTTACAACTTCACCCTATGCAGATAGAGCCTGGGGGAAATATTGGGTGCGGAGCAAATGAGCGGAGGGTGCGGAGCTAACGGTCATTTTTGAATTTAAATTTGGGATATTTCTGAAACTAAGCCGTTTTGGGACTTCAAATATACCAAGATATGTGTATTTGACACCAAATATCAATACAATTGTGAAAATAGTAGCGCAATTCATTCTATAGCGACGCAGTGTGCCTTAAACCTTTCCCAGACCTATATATTTTGAAATTTCCGATTTTTTATAAAATCACACAGATACTGCCTGGCTTCCAAGATGCAAAAATAATTTGCATGGGTATCTTGAACACCATTTGCTGAATGCTGGGGACGCAGTATTAAAAGGATAGTCTCAAAATATATAGGTCTGGGAAATGTTTAAGGCATACTGCGTCGCTATAAAATGAATTGCACTACTATTTTCACAATTTTATTGATATTTGGTGTCAAATACACATATCTTGGTATATTTGAAGTCCCAAAACGGCTTAGTTTCAGAAATATCCCAATTTTAAATTCAAAAATGACCGTTAGCTCCGCACCCTCCGCTCATTTGCGCCGCACCCAATATTTCCCACAGGCTCTGTCTGCATAGGGTGAACTTACGATCTGGGTTCTTTAATGGACACAGTAGGTATGACCAAAATATTGCAATAACTGACTTTATTTACTAATATCAAAAGCTTGAAACTGGAAATAATGTTAAAGACTCCATACAAAGTTTCAACCACCTTAGTGTGTCTTACCAAATGTTATCGAAATGTGTGGTTTGTGAAAAGTAGCACGTAGGTTATTGCAAACAATTTCAGACGGTTATATCTTGGTTTATAACTAATTTCTGACAATGAAGACATGTTTATCTTTTAGATCCATTCATTATCTCAAAGAAAATTATATACAGTAATAATAAAGTCAAACAAACTCGGAGATATTAAACTAGCAATCAACCCATCAATACACTTTTCAAAGATGTTAACCTCATTTTCACCGAAAATGCAATCATTTTTACATTGTTTAATGCATTACTATTCTTTATTTTAATATATCAAATATTTCTTGAAAGATAAACTTAATTGCTTTAAGATACCTGTAGATGTTCCCCATGTTATTTCTCCATTGAAAAATTTCATGCTATCCATTGGTTTCAGTTCATTTTGATCATCCAAATTCAGTATCTTTAAAGTCCCTGGAGCAATCAACTTTTCCTCTTAGGAAATAGAACATGTCTCAAAGCAAATTCTAATTATGCATTCAACAATATAATAAAAGGTTGCATTTTTGGTGAAAATTAGATCAACATTTTTGAAAAAGTATGTTGATTGGTCCATTGCCCCTTCAATATCTCTTCTAGGTCTGATTAACTAAATTATCATTATATATACTTTTCTTGAAGATAATGAATGTACCTAAAAGATACACCCATGTCCATGATCAGAAAATATTCATAATTCAAGTTAGAATTGTTTGAAATTGTTTGTGATAACCCACGTGCTCCTTTGTTTTTAGAATTTCAAAAAGTAGTTTTTAGGTTTTTAAGGACTCGGAAAATCGTGAATCTATCTAAAACTAAATTGTAGAGATTATACATATATTTTAATAAACGATAATTCACACCGATGCGTAGCATTTGGCCGCATGTGTCTTCTGCATTAGTTTATAAATGGGCGAGAAATGAACTAATACACGAAAATTGTCCAGAGAAAAATGGATTTTAAAATTCTAGTTCTCATAGAAACCAATGATGCGGTAATATTTAAAACACTATATTTATTCTTCTTTTCAACCTTCTTTTGTATAGTGTAGCATATTTAGAAAAAATGACCAAGAAAATAATTTTGAATTTTACATCTTTTTCCTAAAATAATTCTAAAATAACTTTTAATGTCCGCGATAAAACACTCTGCCGGCGCCCGGGCGATGTCTAAAATCGGCCGATGAGGCTCGATCATCGCCGGCGCCCGTACGATGCCCGAGAGGCTCGCCGGCCGATTTTGAACATAATATTCATCGGCCGGACGCCGTAGTGAAAATCTGAGCCTATGTGACCAAGGCATTAAAAGGAGTGCGGAAAGTATCGCAACAGATTTCGGGCAGTCATATGTTGGATTTTGGCTATTTTCTGATGACTTAAACAGGTGCATATGTTAGACCAATGCATTACCTCCAGGAAAAGCACTCATAGAGATAATAAAATAATTTTTACTTTGAGACAGGGAAGATGCGAACAACCCATCCACTTGTTTTTTCGGATCCGGAAATTGTCCTGATTGCTGATGCTATACATTAGTACAACAATCGTTTATCCATTGAACACATCCTATCTCCACAAAAAATCATGATGATTCTGTATTGAAAAAATTATTCAAAGATTAGTGGGTGGCAAACACGTACATTTGTGTTCTATATGTAAACGCGGTATATGGCATATATTCATGGTTGCGCGGTATTTGTGATACAGGTGAATATGCCATACTCACCTGCGGTATATGGCATATTCCGCAGGTGAGTATGCGATATTCCGCAGTGAATATGCGATACATTGATTTCAGTGAATACCCGATACGCACCTGCGGAATATGACATACTCACTTGCGGAATATGCCATATTACGCAGGTGAATATGACATATACCGCAGGTGAAAACGTGATACAGAAAGCCTTGATTTGATTGGTTGCGAGAATCGACTCTAAATGTAAAACAACGCTGGATTACCAATATAGTTAGTTAGTATATGAATCCTGGATTGATTGAGTAAGTTTATTACGCGAGATTGGTGAATTAAACTTCTGCTAAGTTAATATATTCGATACACAGTACTGTTGATTCAGTAATCATTATATTAATCTATAACGTTTTACTTGTTCGTTCAATGGATGCAGTTATTGACGTCGACAATTGCGTACTTCCGTATCACGTTCTCATTGGTTAGTGTGTATGCCATATACCGCAGGTGAATCTGTCATACACCGCAAGTGAATATGTCATATTCGTTGCGGAATATGACATATTTTTTGTATCGAGTTTACCGCGTAACACTATATACACTAGTATACTTTTAACACAAACGTATGAAAATGATTGACGTGAACACAAATGTGACACCATTTCGATCATGAACCATTAAGTCAGATTGTGAAATCAATTAGGATAAAATGTGCCGTTAACCTATTGGTTCGTCATAAGTATATGATTTACATGAAATCAGTATATGACCAAAATTTGTAACTTACAAATAATGTGAATTAAATTTTTGAAAACCTCATTTCTTCATACCCAAGTTGCAGGAAGTAATTAAATATGTATTGAGTTAAAAGAAAATACAATAACTAAAGTAAATTCAAAGCAAATGATTCATACTATAATATAAATTAATAATTTGTAATTCTTTGATTTATTCCCAAATTTCTTTTACAAAAATGTAATTAAAAATTGTGTATTGAAAAAGTTTTTTTTGTCACGCGCATACAAATCTTTATCACGAACTTAGGTTTAGAAATAGGTTTGGAATAAAGTAGGCTAAAACACTCAGTTTGATTACTTTCTTCACATCTTATATTGGAATTAGAGTAAAACATTTTGTTTTAATACCCTTTCAGCACCCTTATTAAATGTGTATTTCATAATTATGTTTCTAAGTCTAAGTTAAATGTAATGGCGTTATACACCCTCGGCTAAATACTTTTTATTAATATTCATCCTTAACATAGCAATGATGCCTCTATTCTGAATATGGGTCCGAGTTGGCTTGGGTCAAATTTGACCAGATACCTTTTAAACATTATTAGGAATGAACCTATGTACTTTAAGTGGTACACTTCATCAGGATGGGTGTGGTACATCGATGTCTCATTGAGTGATCCTCATTTATCAGTGAGTTGAAAATATGGATCACACTACATAAAAAATGAGCTGGGGGAAGAGACATGTGTCATGGCTTGGAGTACACCAGGATAAAAATTCAGGTTCAGTACCTTCACTTGTAGAGAGAATCCAACAGAGGAACAGGCAGAAAAATACATGTATACTATGAACATATTTGTGGAAAACAATAAAGCAATATTACTTCAAAGGCTTCGTTTTATTTCGGTGCAATCAAGTATTATAAACTAACCAAAAAGGTTTGAATTATTAAGTGGTAACTGGTTGTAACTGGAGCATGTCACGTGGTCTTGAATTTGATCAGTTTCTCTTTTCCCGTTTCAGGTCTTTCTCCTCAAGAAATATTACCCAGAACCAGGTCCAGAACCAGATCCAGAATTCAATTCCGATCCAGAACCAGATCCGGAATCCAAGCCAGATCCAGAACCAGATACGGAATCCAAGCCAGATCCAGAACCAGATCCGGAATCAAATCCAGATCCAGAATCCAAACCAGATTCAGAATCAAATCCAGAATCGATGTCGTCATTCTTATCATCATCCCATTTTCCAGGCATGTTCTCTAAGATGATGGATATCATCTCGCGACTCATTGGCGGTAGTTGATTTACAGAATAGGAGAATCTTCCTGCCACAACCGTAAAGTGGTACATGTCCTTCTGGCCAGTATGTCGGAAAAACACCTGAAATGAAATAACATATAAATGCACTTGTACTTGTCGGACAATGAAATCAGAGAAGGTTGCATGTAATTGTACATTTTGAATAAGGTCTGTTCGTATTCGTTACTAGTTATCGAAGTGGCTAAATATGTAAATGTGACAAAAGACAATTGGGGTAATTCAGAATTAAAACAAATGTAGACTAGCCGTGTTGTACAGCGCCACCTAATGTTGTGGTAATTGAAGTGCACTGGCTATACAGAGTGGGTAATGCACTTTCATAAAATAATTTCAAGATGAGAAAAAATGTCCGTTTTGAGAATCGTTTTGCTTAGTGTTTTGATATATTAGTCTCGAGACAATGTGGATGAATATATATATAGATAGAGATGATATAGATAACTGAAGATAAAAATGTGATATTGAACGAACCAATTTGAGCAAAATGAGCAATGGAGAACAGATATTTTTATTTTGGGTTACTTTGCTTCTTATGTATATTGTCTGTTTGGCAATTTCTTCTATAATTTAATACATGTTTGTACATGAAAATGTTTTCAAATGAATGAAGTTGGGAAATAAAACACAAGTACAGTCAATAACGACAGTTGAGCAAGAGAGTTGCAGTCTCATGTGGTGCTTTTAGATGAACACATGTAAAGCCCACCTGTATAAAAGGGTACTGTACATATTCAAAGGAATACTCAGTGCTGAAATACAGGAAATAGTCTCTGCCCCTCTCCAATGGCTCCTTTGTCCGTAAAGTAGTAACATATCCCATGTCATCAGTGTTCCTGAAAACAAGCATAAATACATGTATAAGTTACAAGGGTAATTTGCACATTTTCTTAAATATAGAAATAAACAAAATAAATATATATTTTATTTGTGATTTGTTAAGCACAATAATTAACAATTGAGACTGCGTACGATCCAATAATGCACTACTCACCCCATACCCATTAAGGTATGACCACCTCCCATTTCCATCCTTCCCAATGAGACTGGTACATTTGGCATTCCCATTCCTGTCATTGAATTAACAAGGTTCCCAGTCACTTGCAGCTTCATAGAGTCTGGAATAGGTTCATTCTCGTTTATTAAATAACTCAAATTTGTTTACAAATAGTCCATAGTACGAATAGATAATGATTGTGATTAGAAATGTCGAAATTCTGCCTAAAACACGTGAAATAAGGAAACATCGTAACTTCAAATGTACAATACCAGCAGTGATACTTGGATTCGACTCATGTATGTCTGTCACCGCCTGCATCCATAAATGCATCAACAAATTTGAATTTTTAAAAGAGGAGACATTTTGGAAAGTTTTAATATTTGCATGCTATCAAATTATCCATAATGACATATACATAAATATGTGAGCATAAGTGCCAAGGGAAACGACTAAAAGTGTTCACAGCAAGAAAAGGAAAACGTCTATGTGTACACCACTCATAAGAAAAATAAACACGGACTATTCCCAACCCATAATCAAACTTGAAAAGAAACACTGTCTAATGTCCCCCCTCCCCCATCATATAAGTACCATTATCACAATCTAAGGGACAATCAATCCATACAGAAGCCATTAAAATCCATGTTGAAGAATAAATATAAATTGATAAACCAAAACTCATATCATGATTTGTTGCAGATACTAGAATATACTTTTTGTATTGTCAAAATCGGTTTATTTTTGTATAATTTTATTGTAGTATGTTTATATGTATAGTTGCCAATAATGTTTGCTTCGGCAACTTCTTGAAAAATCTTTGTAAAAAAAATTACTATGATAATAAAAACAACAACAATATACTAGAATATCGTATCAAATATCTAAGCACAAGTTTCAAAGGGAAAGTTCCAAAAACTGCAAAGAACCAAGCAAGAAAAGCAAAGTCTAAGTGTAAACCGGTCATAAGAAAAATAGACACCGTATCCCAAAACCATGATCTAAGGTGAGAGGAAATAATAACACCCCTTCCCCCTCCAGGTATATGTACAAGATTTGGCATTCAATCTCAAATGATGTGGGATAGACAAAAAAGATGTTCATTGTTTTTTCAATGTATTGACATCTATATACCTGGTTTATCTGGACAACTAGGACAACATTCGCCATCCTTTACTATAGGCTGTGTGTTGTCTGCACACTCGGGCACGTCGCACGTAATTGAGTAACACATTACCCCCTCTTCCATACAAGAGCAATGTAAACATGGATTTCTAGTCTTAAAATCTCCGAAGGGATACCGCCTTCCTTCATAAACACAAACTGAAAATAGTACGTTGATTAACAATTAGCTGTCTTGTACTTTGAGGCTGCTGAAGAAAGTGTCATATATAGTATGTTATTTAATTTTACCTACTGGGTTGGCAAGCCATTATGTGACCTACTTTGAGTGGGAGCCTGTCATAGGGAAAAGAAATTAGATGACACATTATGTAATCTTGTATTTTATGATTAAATCCATAAGACCCGTGTTGATCGTCCAAAGAACTACTAATACTTGATTGAATAATGATCATGAATAATATTATTAAACGCAATATTGAACACTTCTCTGGTGAGATGCATCTTGAAATATTCTGACGATGGATTTTTACTCATATATCCTACTGAACAGTATTCAAGGCAATGTCACCTACATGCTGGTGGAGGTGGTGTAGGTGTCGCAGGAGTAGGACACTGGGGACAACATCTTCCTGGTGGTACAAGAGGTAGAGATCCATCGTCACACTTTTCTACATTGGCACAGCGAACAGCACTGCAATCTAAATCTTCATTTTTGAAATTACAGCTCATATTAGTTTTTCTTTACAGCATATAGAATATTTTGTTAATTACAAATAAAAAATAAATAATCATTTAAAAAGGATTCGTTTCTCTTTATAACCAACATGTATATGTAAATATGTTATGTGCATCATAATAGATAAATCATTTTATTTATCCAAATGTAATGAGACAATATAAATGAACTCTAAATATTATCATACCTCAACTAAAATGAGTGAAAAGTAGACCATTAATTTCAAAGACATCAGTAGACTAAGTCATGTTCATTACCTTCTCCACAACGCGGGCAACATTCCCCGGGTGGTGTGAACAAAGTTACACCCTCTTTGCATTTAAATACAGGACATTCGACCAAATTGCAGTCTGAAATTAAGTTAAAATCACGCATGTTAATAAAATAATACCATCTTTGCACTTATACAGAGGGCAGTCGACCTAACTGCAGTCTGAAATTAAAGTTAAAATCACGCATGTTAACAAAATTATACCCTCTTTGCACTTATATAGAGGGCAGTCGACCTAACTGCAGTCTGAAATTAAAGTTAAAATCACGTATGTTAACAAAATTATACACTCGTTGCACTTGTATAGAGGACAGTCGACCAAACTGCAGTCTGAAATTAAAGTTAAAATCACGCATGTTAACAAAAGTATACCCTCTTTGCACTTATATAGAGGAGAGTCGACCAAACTGCAGTCTGAAATTAAAGTCAAAATCACGCATGTTAACAAAATTATACCCTCTTTGCACTTATATAGAGAGTCGACCTAACTGCAGTCTGAAATTAAAGTTAAAATCACACATGTTAACAAAAGTATACCCTCTTTGCACTTATATAGGGGACAGTCGACCAAACAGCAGTCTGAAATTAAAGTTAAAATCACACATGTTAACCAAATTACACCATCTTACACTTATATAGAGGACATCCGACCGACCTCTTTGCATTTATATGGAGGACAGTCTAACTAACAAACTGCAGTCTGAAATTAAAGTGTTGACAAAGATTGACCTTGATCTTCTTTGCAATTATTATAGGGGGCACGAGATGACAATGGTAATATCAAATTATTAAATATCTAAGTACAAATGTACTATCAAAAATTATAAAATAGTATAATTAAAGATGGACTTGGATACACGGGACCCCTTCTTTCTTATTAAACTTACCAGTTTTCTTCTTTTCACAGAAGTCACCCTCAAATTCATCAGGACAAGTGCAATCGAAGTCTCTGCCATCTTGAGTCATAAACAAACCTCTTCTAGGCTCACAACTAGCACCATTCATACAAGGGCTCGAGGAACAACCGTTCTGATCTGAAAAAAATTATGATTGGTTATTTATGAATCACGTGATCAGACAAAATCACAACTGCTCTTACAATGAAATAGAAAATTGTAGTGAATTGTTAAATGAATATTGATTTATGCATTTAAATTTTAAAGAGCCATACGTATATTTTATAAATATAAGCAATGGTGTATATTGGCACGAATGAGTATGGCTGACTCAAATTACTCCAAACCTGTTGGGTGAGTTGGTGCTGGAGTGTTTGTTGGTCCTTGGGTCTTAGCAGTTGTTGGTTTTGCTGTGCTAGGTTCTGTTGGTTTCCCAGTGCTAGGTTCTGTTGGTTTCCCAGTGCTAGGTCTTGTTGTTGGTGTTGATGTGACCCCAGGAGAATCTAATTATATAAATCATATTCTCATATGATAAATTCTCAATTTAAAAGAGGTTTGAAAAGATTGGTTATAGGACCATATGGATTATGTCTGACTAATATTTCAATAATAGCTTATATGGTTATAAGAACATGGCTATTACTAGCAAAGAACTTCGTTTTTTAATTTTGCAATCCATTATAACAAAAACCTAATAGATAGTTGCGGAAGTACAGGATATTCCTATTGAGGGCATCAATGTAAATCCCAAGCATGGGAATACCAAAAACTATCCTTGTGAAAATTAGAAAATAGCATACCATCCAAGTAAAATAAACAACACACAGTGATAAATTTTCAAGATAAAAATATAAGCTGTTTCCAGGAATTTTGAAGACAACGCGGCAGCCATGCTACCCAGCATGCCAAACCAATAATAACAACCTCAACAACCTAATCAGATGTTTGCAAATGACTGTTGAACAGGCAAGCAGTTTTCCTGAAATTTTAATGACATTTATGGAAAAAACTTGAGTTTTGAAGATTTATCATAAATTCAAAATGGCTAACCAATACTATACCCAGTATGCCCTCGACCTACTTGATCTATTAGATCTTGGCACTAGTAATCTGATCTTGCATTTGTCTTGCGGGGTAAGCAGTTTTCCTCAAATGTTGATGAGAAGATTGGATTTTTATGTGGCGCCCGGCCGCACAATCGCAAGTACGTCTACACGATGGAGAGTTAAAATCAATCAAACGTTTAACCCTGAAAAATCACTGATGTGTTCATGTGTTTCGTTAAATTCTACCCACATAGTACAACACAAGCTAGATTAAAATGCAATGATTACCTGAGAACTCGACTCTTTCATAGTAATCCATGTTTCTACTGGCTCGGGTAGACCCGACGTCATCTCTATTACTCCTGCTTATGATGCACATCTGCTTGCTTTGAACATATTCTGCAGATTTGCACTCGAAGGCAGCCATGTTAATACATCTCTCGAGGCACTCTTCCAATGACAGCCCTTCAGTTTTGTCATCATTGTTGCCAGGGAGATACTGTTCTTGTTTACGGACCCAATATGCACCCTTCATTTGCATGGGTACTTCATCTACAATATTTGAAATATGAAACATAGCACGGTTATAGATTTAGTGAAGTCAAAGTTACATATTTCATGTTCTCTTTATACCCTAAAAGGGGTGATTTGAGACGTGAATAAATAAACAAGATTTACAAACATGGAAACCAATTACCACTAAGATTATGTGGTCTGATTTTTCTAAGATCTCAAGATCAGGAGCTGGTTGTCCGGTCGTCCGCCACAAAACCTTGTGGGAACACCTTTTGACATTTTCAAATTCTATGTTCTTTTGTTGATCAAAAATCCTTAATTTTTATCAAAATCAATTGATATCATACTTGAAATGCAGTTATGTGGTAAAAAGTAAAAAATTATATATGAATTCGACCTTGTGTGACCCCATTTTACAGCAGTCCCCGTTTCAATCAAAACGAAATATATTTTCTTATAATGGAAGTCAGTACTTTCAACCGTTATGTTCATTTTTTGTGGCAGAGTACAGGACAACGATTCTTCATAATTTTTTGAAGCAGCAAAGGGACTAAAGAGAAGTGTACCCCGATTTGTCAACTATGCAAAACAATTATAGAAAAAAGTATTCGATGATCCGTCCACTATGGAACATAAGAATATAGATTTGTCAATTTCAAAACCTAATATTGAGAATGATTTGTCAATTATGGCGCATTATATGGAAATGAAATATACAATGATATGTCAAATATGGACATGGTATGGAAAAGAAAGAAACAATAGATTATATGCTTACCATCTCTTGGATTGGGATAGAGTCCCGGACGTGTTGTAATGGTTGGTTCAGTTGCCGGTTTTGTTAAGTTATCTGAAATACAGTTTTGAGAGGAAACAAGGAAAATAAATGAAATGAAGACGAAATAGATGGTATAGTGATGACAGCCACATGTTTTATACACTTGCATTAACATGACAAAATGTCACCACCTAGCTATTATTAGTTCAATCTTAAGTCAGATTTGAATTCCTGAGAACTCTTTGGATGATTTAGAAAAATTGAACTCAGTCTAAACAGTATTTGTTAAGTTATTGGAAGTTTTAAGAATTTGTTACAGACGCCAACCGCCACCCGCCGATCGCCAACCACCTACCACCAACCGGCGCCACAAAAACGGAGACCATAACAATATGTCACCACTTCTCGGTGGTGACATAATAACGACATGTACATTTAAATGGAATAAGAAGCGATAAAGACCTGCCAATGTCTAATTTTCAGCCTTCACATAGAAATGCTTACCTGGAACCTCTACTCGTTCATAGTAATCTATGTTACCACTAGTTCGAGTGGGTCCGACGTCATCTCTATTACTCCTGCTTATAATGCACATCTGCTTGCTTTGAACATATTCTGCAGATCTGCACTCGAAGGCAACCATGTTAATACATCTCTCGAGGCACTCTTCCAATGACAGTCCTTCAGTTTTGTCGTCATTGTTGCCAGGGAGATATTGACCCTGTTTCCGGACCCAATATGCACCATTCACCTGAACTGGGGTTTCGTCTACAAAGCAATATTTGAAACAGCGCTCAAGACATATGCTATTAACACTGCTACCCACCTAGTTACACAGACGTATCGTCAGTGTATCATGGCTGAACTACTTACGGGACTAGGTTTCGGTAAGATTTTTTTATTTCCCGATTTACACCTACTTATAAGTCACGTTGTGAATAATAATTTGGCCCGAAGTTAAGGAAGATAGTCTAGTTTGAGAATGTGTCGATGGTTTTAGGTTTTATATGTTAACGAAGACACAATTCACGTATTAAGTCCCTCGCTTTTGTTACACTGACGAACGACCAATATCAGTGTAATATTGGCAATATTAATGCCGATCGTCAGTGTAACAAAAGCGAGGGACTAAATATGTGAAATGCGTCTTCGTTAACATACCGAACCTAATACCATCGACACATTCTCAAACTAGACTATCTCCCATAACTTCGAGCCAACTTATAATCCACATCGTGACTTATAAGTAGATGTAAATCGAGAAATGAAAATATCTTACCGAATTCAAATCCCGGAAGTAGTTCCGCCATGATACACTGACGATACGTCGTATGTGTAACTAGGTGGGTAGCAGTGATTAAGAGTGGTGCTTTTTTCTTTAAGCGATACCCATCTTCTTTATAAATTTATTATTTCATAAGACGATTACTATAAAATTCTGATATATCATTTTGAAATAAATGAAATATCTTGAAATTACATTTGTTAATGAAAACACAGAATGAAATCCAATAAGAAATTCAATAGAGGAGTTTCTAAATGATTTTGAAATCTCGCTAATTCTCGTTTTTTCATGAGATTTTAAGAGATTTGCACATTTTACCTCTAATGACTTACTTTTCTTTCTTTTTAATAGCATATTTGAATTCAGTGATATGTTTCCTACAATACTAGCTTTGATTTACACATTTATGTCATTTAAATCATTCTCCGTGACATTTAAAAAAACTTGGGCCAAATCTCCATTGATGTTATGCTAAAATTCTTTAAAACCATGGTTTAATCGTATGACAACCAACATTTTCATGTTTAATCACAATATGTTCATTGCCAGGATCATTTAATAGTATGCTATTCAAATTTCAGACAGATTTAACTAACACTCTTTGATAAATCATGAAATCAAGTGACTATTGCAAGCTTTTAGCATAGAACTCAATGGAAGGTTGGCCCAAGATGAACAAAGGTGACATCTATTATGTCAGCTTTATTCAGCTTTATTTAGCTATTTAGAAACTATACTATTAGTATCGTTGAACACTCTCAACAGAAATCCAATATATAAATCAACTGAGACATACTCTCCCCATTGGTTTTTGATTTGCCAAAAAATATTTACATACGTGGAGTGTGGAAGTTATCGAGGGTTTACGTATGGTCTTTTTTACTTCAACTTTAATTTTGATATATATTTTTTTTGTTTTCAAATATTTCTGCCCAGGTTATTCACTTTTAAGCCTTAAAAATATATAGCGCCGTGCAAAATACCTGGAAAATGTTTAGATGTTTAGACTCGAGTACATGGAGAGAGTGTGAGATTTTAAAAGTTAGAAATATTTGAAAACATGAAAATCACAGAAACATGTCCACCAAATAGGTATTAATTAACCATACTTTTGGATCAAGTAAAATAAAAATGAATTCAAGTTTTGCTTGACCCGCTACGCCATTTGTCATGTTGCTATAGTAACAATAATTATCCATTGTGGCATCATATGACAATGAAACTGTTTTATCCAACCCAAAACTATATTCTCCATTTACTTTGAAAATTTCAAGTAGATTGGTTGAAAAATAATGCAATGACAGATAAATTCCCAGAACTTAATGATCACCCTGTATATGTAAGATTCATTCATGATTTATTTTGTTTGAATTGGTAATTGTGTATAGATTTCTTTTTGAAATATTTTGATATCATTCTTGAAACTTGCACTTACCGAAATCCTCAACAACTTAAACTTTTCTTTAAAAACAGAAATCAGTAGAGCAATATTAATACTAACTACAAAAAGTAGAATTCTTCAACAAGACATTTTCTGTGGTTTTAGTTACTAATATGTAGAAAAAAACATTGCTAGGCTAAGATTCTTAGTAAAATAATTATTCTCCGTTACTTGAGTAATTAAATGTTATTAGTATTACCTGTATTAGCACTAACCATCGCCCCAAATAACAGGGTCATCCCTAGGACCAGATTGTTCAGCCGCACCATGTTAACTTGTCTTTCGCTAGTTCTTTTCTGGACTCCCGAATTAATTCTTGAACTGTCCAGAGTCAAAGGAGGGATTTTGTACTGTGGCCCAGTATTTATTGCAAAGCGGCATTATTTTTGTTTTAAGATTACAAAGGATTATACATTTTCATTCACGTAGGCTTAACACAACAATACATAAATAGGCCATACGCCCAATAATGATTCATTGAAAGCATCACGACATAAGTTACAATATATACCCTCTTACTTGCATTTGACATTGAGGAACCTTTTATGCTCGGACATTTTAAGTTATAACCATAACAACACGTATTATGTCAGTGATTGTGTAGTCCGTTGGATTGGGGAACACGAATGTTTGTCTTTATATTTCACTCTCGACAACAATGGTGGTCGTTCCTTATACTCAAGAAGCGGCAAATCGAAGCATTGGAGCACGTTCATATTTTTATTCCGGTCATACTTCATTGATATCAAATGACTTCATGAAGTCGAAATGATTTTATAAATGCCACGAAAAGTGTTCAGTTTTCTCTTGTAAATCTTTTCTAAATATTATTTACTTAATTCTGCAACATTTCTGGTTTCTTCTCATGTTTTAAATATGCCTTGGCTTTATTGAGAATTAAAATTCTGAAATGTTTTTGCGCTGATGCCGACGACTTGTAGGAGTCAATGAGGACTTACAAAATACTTCAAAATCTACATAAAATCCTCACCTCTTCAAAATCCATTATATAGCGAAATAACTCAATTCTGACATTCATTTCTCAAGGTGTTTTCAAACCCTAGTCCAAACAGCGTCATTCGTTTGACCTCGTTTGCTCAACGCTTTGTATTAACGCGGGATCGGCGAAAATGTCTATTGAGATCATCGAACTTTACAATTCATAGAATAAACAGCACATATAATGCACCTCAGTTTTTCTGTAGCTGTGTGAATTACTAACACAATGATGCATTATTACCACCTTGCCGGGCCAGTTCATTTTACTATATCGACCTGAGAAATGTGTGACGTCATAGTGGTGATCCATATGGACCGGTCTAGAATATATTCTGGACCGGCAATTTTTCCCCGGGAAATTAGATATCGTTCAGTGCGTAAGATTTTCTTGCTATTTCAGCCCTGGTCGTTAACGGTGGTAATAATACTAATAACGTCATTTCTGCGAGCAATATAGTGAAATATTGGACCTTGGGCCTTCGGCCCTCGGTCCAACATTTCACTATATACATGTAGCCCTTAGAAATGACGTTATTGTACTATTGTACAGGGAAAGCCGTTGACGTCCTCACGGGAAGGGTCTCTGACCTTTGCACAAAGTGAATAATTCTGAAGAACTTCACGAAACAGTTTCGAGACGTTTACAATTTTTAGCAGAGCCTCATTAAGATCTTCCCGTTCGTAAAGGAAAATAATTTTCCTGTATAAGCCCATTTACGGGCGAACATCGTTATGTATGACAATTCACATTTTAGAACTACTTTGGTATGACGGGGGGGGGGGGGGGGAGTAGATAGGCTAAACCACAATTTCTTGTGAAATCAAGATTAAGAAACGAAGCATCTAACACGCCTAACCATCGACAACGTAGAGTGACAAAATATACCGCGTACACTTTAGATGTACGGTGTCACTATTCTAACTGATATGAAGCAAACACGATAATGTGGATGTGGTGTAGGTTATAAAAATTAATCTGAGGAATACTTAAGGGATTTTATGTTTAATTTCGTGTGTATTCGATTTGGAAGATATTTACCTTTCTAATTCCGGGCAGTGCTCGAGTTTTTTCGTAGTAAATCTACCCACCAACAATGATCGGTTGGAAAATGTTGTTTTTTCACATTTCCTTTGGGCATTTTTTCCCCTGTCGCCTAAGAGTGTCGATTATTTTTATGAGAATATGTTTCCCAAAGTTACATAATTAAGGTCGGTTGAAGATTTAATAAATATTCACGTTTTTGCTAAAATAAAAAAAAATCATAAGTGTATGTTGTCATCTCGATGTACGTTGTCCCATTGAACTTACATATCTAAATTCACAGTTAACCCTTATGTAGACAACGTATTTCTCATATGACAAGGGGCAGGTGGATCAGATTCATTTAAAACTGAAACGGAACAATCAAGTATTACTAATTCAACTTGATTGAACCTCTGCACTTTCCAGATATATCATAAACGGGATTTTGAAAGTCATCTTCGATTAGCTAGTATAGATCTCTCCATGAACTCCTTAAGATTATTAAAATTCATAAAAATGCAACATAACGTAACGTACCGACGCCGAATGGTAAAAGAGGTTGGAAGATAACACCCCACGGTCAAATATTAATCACTATATCAACACTTTCATAAAATAAAATAGCATTAAACAAGAGGTAAAAAATCACTTTTACCTGTTTATCTGTACCAGGGATACATGAACATGTTCGTTGAACATCACTTGTTACTCATAAAACCCTTAATGCGTTTTGAAATTAAATCATTGCATTGTTTACATTTCAATTACAGTGACAACGTACATTAGAGATGACAACGTACATTTTTGATTTTTTAAATGATACTAAAATACATGAATATTTATAAAACCTTCAACCGTCTTAAATTGTGAAGTTTAGAGAAACATATTCTCATAAAAATATTCGGCACTCTTAGACGACATGGGAGAAAATGATCAAAGGAAATGTGTAAAATAACACACTTTTCCAACCGACCAATTGCATGGGTAGATTAACAACGAAAAAACTCAAGCACTGCTCGAAAATCTTTTAACGTAATTAGAAAGGTAAATGTCTTCCAAATCGAATACACACGAAATCAATCATGAAATCCTTTATGTACTCCTCAAATTAATTTTGAAAACCACAATCAAACCTACATCATAGTTTTCGCTTCAAATCAGTTAATAGTATATCTTGTCACTGTACGTTGTCGATGGTTAGGCGTGTCTAAGGAGGTTAATTACAAAAATGTTAATCTCAATAAATGAGATCCTATCTTCCATTAGTGCAAATTGGTTTCCATCTAGTTCCGCAATCATTAGCCATTTGCTATATAAGTTTGAAATCTCGATGAAGTCTCATTTAGTAAGATTTTTAGAGATTTGCATATCTAATAAATAAGGACATTTGCCTCTATATAGAGTGTTCACTAAGTAATGGCACTAGGTCTCCCATTTCTACAGTTTAACCAATCTTTCTAGATTTTGCACATATCATCGGGCATGTAATAATGAGTTGACAGGACATGTCTCAGAATAAAAATTGTATCACATTTAACATTAATTAGGAATTTTTAATCCTGAGCATATTACATCTGCCAAGGACAACCTTGCTTTTCTAAACGATATAATATTTGTCTCCAACGCTCTAGGCCCATGCCCAGTGGATTCACGACAAAGTAATCTGTGTCTTCTTCAATGCATTTTTATTGTTGTTGAGCCACAATTTTTTGAAAAACGTTTGATTTACTAATCTTAGCTTATCGTATTTCAACCTGGCTGCCCTTACAATTTTCTCATTGGAATGAAGCTGTTAACTCTTTAGGAGTCCAATAGCATGGAAATGCAATTCGGTGAATAATGAGCAAAGTATACATTTTAAATCCTAGATAACTCTGCATTCTGTCCATTCTCTATGGACCACTTTGCAGTATGGCATGCATGTTGCAGTCAGTTTCCTATTTCCACAAAACCCGTTTTCCGATGACGTTTTTTAGTTTGGCAGACTTTCCAACTCATGGAGATCACAGACAATTATAATGTCATACTAGAACTATTATGGGTTACACTATGAATGAACCATACTTTTAATGAAACCACTATTCGGGACATATTTTAAATAACCAACTGGCATAAAAATGGATAGCTCAAATCATGTAATACCTCAAATCACGTAAAACACCATCATGTTATGCATCGTTTCATCAAAATTGAGTAAAATTGATGTTTGTGTCAACGCACCTGTCATAACGTTACGTTGCTATGGCAACCATTATTTCATTGTTGGAAGGTCATGGGCTTTAAGACTTTCAAATAAACTCACAATTACACTTTTAAGACATGCTGAAAATTTAAGCAAGATTCCTTAAAATTTGACAATATGGGAGACGTAATATCGTTACTGAGTGAACACCTGTATTTATGACATATTTGAATTCAATGCATAATTTCTACTGGAAGAACTTCTTTAATTTTATTACATTTCCAAAGATTTTGACATGTCCATGTTATGACTGATTATTATCGTCAATCCAAATAAGTAAGCAATTGTCCCATGATTCTATTTTCCTGAGGTAGGTTCCGGTCATGGTTAATCCATATCATCCTTTTCGCCAGAATCCATGTCATCCTTTTTGTCATCATCCATGTCATACTTTTTGTCATCATCCCAGTTGTCCATATCCCATTCTTCGTCATCTTTGTCAAATGGGTTTCTTGTGCCATCTCGATAATCAGTCATGTCCCCTAGGATGAGGGATATCATCTCGCGACTCATTGGCGGTAGTTGGTTTACAGAATATGAGAACCTTCCTGCCACAACCGTAAAGTGGTACATGTCCTTCTGGCCAGTATGTCGGAAAAACACCTGGAACCATGGAAAAAACATGATTTTCTAAGCCTTGTTTCAGTGCAACATCTTCAATTCACAATAATGATATCTCATTGACAATTAGATATAACAAGTTTACATTAATATCATACCTGAATGATGGGGAACTGGACATATTCAATGGTGTACTCGGTATTGAAAAATAGGAAGTAGCTCCTTCCCATTTGCAACGGTTCTTGTGTCTGCAGGGTAGTAATATAGCCCATGTCGTCAGTTTTACTTAAAGAAAAGAAGATTACAATGACATTTTTTGTTGTGTATTTATCTTAGCAGTTATTTAAAGAATGGTGCTTGTGATGATAAAATACAATGGAAACATGCATAAGGATAATACAGTATCTTTCCTGTAACTCACCCCATGCCCAGTACTGTACTACCACCTCCAATTTCCCTCCTGCCAAGAGTGACATGTACATTTGGCATGCCCATTCCTGTCATCGAATTCACAAGGTTTCCAGTCACTTGCAGTTTCAAGGAATCTGCAACATGATACAATATAGGATTTTAATAGATTTATCAATTTTTGGTTGTTGTAAAATATAGACCTTGGAAGAATATAAAAAGGAATTATTTCAAAACGCTCTTTGTGTATTATAGGGGGGGGGGGGCGTCAGTTGACTGTATTGTATTCTCCATTGCATGACCACAAGAGTGGAAGAAGTCTGGTTTTAATTTTCATAAAATGTACCTGAGGTATCATTCTTTGGCTGTATGCAACGTTTTGAGCAACCATCAAAGCAGCAGAGCATCATCCCTGGGCATTCATCATCCTCCCCACATTCATCACCAAATGTTCCATTCATTTGCATCCTGCATGTGGCATTGCCATCCATTGTCATGTTCATTCGGGGGCAGAATTCGTCTTTGTCTACAAAAATAAAGTTTTTAGAGTCATTATCTGTACGTATGAATATGTAAAAGTACGAAGTTTTGCTGTGTTATCATTATCATTGGGGATTTAGCTGGGTTACCAAAAAAATCAATTTTGGAAAAACTTTTAATATCCAAATGAAGGTGGACATTCTTGATGGTATCCCGATGCTAAGTCAATAGTCAACCTCTTGTTTAGTTAATGCACCCTTGCTGAAATCCTTATTTCCTCAGAAGAACTCAAGTTGATGGAGTCTGAACTAGTAGATTCATATTGAATAGTATTGCTAGAATACAGTTTTACAGTAAGAAAAGAGATTCTTGAACAGGACACCGGGCTTGCTATTCAGAACTTCTTGTGGCCTAAATATTTCAACAATGGCCTCTCTAATTAGCAAACAAACGTTGTTGGCAACCCAGTTAAATCACTTCAGAAAACCCCTATCATCATAAATTGACCATAAAACATCATACTTTTAATTATTTAAAGGTTCACTATAGGATGTATTCAAAGGTTCGTTATAGAATGTATTCGACAATTCCGATCCTAGGTGTTTGCTTAATGTTTTGACATTAAAAGTGCGTGTTTGTGAGAGGTAACAGGCCTCTATCATGAATGATCAGTACATTTCATTGCAATTAAAGTCAAACTCAAATATTTCATAACGAGAAAAATGAACCTCACCTGGCTTTGAGTTTTGACAGTATCTGCCATAAGTACCTGATTGGCAGACACACTTCAACCAACCATCCATTGACATACAGCGTCCATTATTCATACATGGGTTGGACATGCAAGTCACATTCGCTGAAACGTATTCATTAATCATATCAAGAATTGAACCATATTATAAAAAGCATCATATTTTCAACTTATCTGGTTTTCACAATTGATCTAAATTGGATTGATGGTATCACAATTTTGACAATTTTTGATAACGAGTTTGATTTCAAGTTCATTGAAATTGAATCAACACCCGATTGTGCATCTTTAATTATCACTAACTGTGTATTTTGTTATATTTCCTTTATTGTTTTAATTCAATTTTGTCATTATGCACAGTTCGATCATGGGTCAGTCACCATCTTCAACCTTTCAAAGTATGATATGGCTATACAAGGTTGAAAACAGAAAGTACATGCAAAGTCGATTTCCAAGTCACAATTGTGTAGAATTCATTTTATTCATATGTACAACTTTTACCTGATATGCGTTCACAGAAAGTTCCTTCGAAACCGAATGGGCATTTGCAATAAGCTTGGCCTGTTATGTTCAGTATACACATTCCATCATTTTGACATGGGACAAGTTTGCTTTTGCACTCATCTGGAACTATAAACACATTACGATAAATGAATAAATGTATACTTGTACATTGAAAAAGGTTGCCCATTGAAAGTTTGTACAATATACTGGTTGTAGCTTATATATTAGGAATAGAGTTACTGAAAGATTAATTAAGGTGCAGTGTTCGACTATGTTGGTTGGACTATTGGTTCCCTCTCACACAATATCAGCCTTAGCACAATCAAACACCGGTTTCAAACAAAATTTTAAGTTTTGTTCGGTTTGAATCAAATGTTCTTGAGATCAAAAACATGTATTGATATTGGATTCCAAATTGTCTCCATGGAAAAATATAATAACAACCAATGATACACAAAGACAAAACTTTTTTATTTCTAAACAAAGACTTACCGATTTCACATTTCTGTCCTCTGTATCCTGGTGGACAGATGCATTTCATAGTTCCGTTGATGTTTACACTGTCTGTTTTGTTCATGGTTGTACTGTTTGCAATGGCACAGTAGCCACGATTCAGACATGGATTTTTTGCTCCAGACATGCAGACTTGGCCAACTGAAAAAGTACAGATAAAAAACATTCTATAACCGCGTACACCAACTCTCAAAAATTATAATGCGGATGTTTACCTTTCAACTTTTTAAATCTACGTATTTCCAACGATTAAGACAATTTTTGTCCAACATGTAATTCCATTATACTTTATCTATTATATATGATGAGTATGTATGACTCAAATGGCACCCACCTGCTGGGCTCGTTGTTGGGGGAATGGCTGTCGTTGGTGCTGATGTAACTTGGGGAGCATCTAAATATATAAATCAAATTCTTATATCATAAAAAGGGATTAAAACCTGATTGGAAGTATATTATGACTACCATACGAATAATGACTTAAATGGTAATGCCTCTTTAGCTGCTACAGGATTTGATTCTCAATAAAATGTGACATGTTGAAGTTTGGAATCCATTAAAAAATACATTGTGGATTGACAATTGTCGAAGTTATATTTGCGACTAATAAACAATGCACACTATGTACACGGATATCTAGAATTTCAAAATAATTTTTGTATTAAAATCATCATATCGATGTACTTCCGTCCAAAGTATTACAGAAACTGGTCACTTCGTCCTACATAATATCTTGAGAAAAACATTATAGTATGTTGCAAACAATTGAGAAGAAATCACTGGTGCATGTCTTTCGTTGACTTTACCACACATGCTACAACTGCGATACAAAACTTACCTGAGAACTCTACTCTTTCATAGTAATCCATGTTGCCACTGGCTCGGGTTGATCCGGTGTCATCCCTATTACTTTTGCTTATAATACACATCCCTTCATTTCGAACATAGTCCGCGGATTTGCAAACAAATGCAGTCATTTTAGCACATCTCTCGAGGCACTCTTCCAGTGAAAGTCCCCCAGTTTTGTCATCATTGTTGCCAGGGAGATATTGACCTTGTTTATGCACCCAATATGCACCTTTCATCTGCATAGGTGTTTCATCTACAATGCAATACATCAGAGTGTTTGCCTCTTCTTTTGTCTAAACTTGTTTGATTTGAGGTAGTACTGCATGATGACTATGTTCAGGTCATTTATACCATTACACGTTCTAATGAAGTGAGTATTATTTTCAAAATCATATTTCGGTATTTTTACGTCATTATTGAAAATTAATTTGATCTTCACAATTTTCGTTTGAAAGTTTGAAACTACTTTAAACAGATTTAGGAGAGAACTCAACATGCAGTTTCGATTCCAAAAGTGAAACAATACAAGACTGTATACGCTGAATACTTGATACCAGTCAAAAACGATGGCTAAATAATTGTATAATAATAATTTAAGTGTGGAAATATTAGGGCTGTAAATACACCATGGGAGAAAGGCAAATTATGAGATTAGGAACTATGACATAATTTCCAAATTGGTTTGTATATGGTTGTTATATAGAACTATGCTTACTATCTTTTGGTTTAGGGTAGATTCCTGTAGGAGTTGTAACAGGTGCTCTGGTTGACACCTCATCTAAAATGCATAATATATGTATAATTATAGTATAGTTATTTCCATAATATAATACTTGTATAATATATAATATAATATGTGTACAATACAGTATGATATTATACATATATTTTAATAGTAATATGTAAATATAATATTTGTATAATATGATATAAGTTGTTCTTCAAATTAACAGAAAATGGAATACAGTTATATACTAATATTAGATTTAATAGAAAAATCATCATATTATTCTTATCTTGAAGCATATAGAAATTGTTAATCTGAATTATATCTAAATAAGGTCACTAGACTAAAATAGGCACAAGGCTAAAGCAAAAGCAACCAAAAATAAATTCATGTGATAGTATAAATCAATAACAAATGTGTTAAGATAGCCATATAAGTAGTGATCGACGAGGGTATTATAGAAGAGATTATGATCAAGCGCTTGGAAAACTCTTAGAATTTAAATCTTAGAATAAAGACAAAATAAAAGAATAAAGATTAAAGAAATGAAGAAATTGGGTCATCTTGAGCTTTGGGTAACAGACATACACTATATTAGAGACAACAAAGGATGTTGTTTTACAATTTTATTCAATATCCCAGTCATGGAGACTTCCAAGTTCTAGATCAGACTTCTCATCTCATCTGTCAAACGTATTATAATGGACATATTGGAATGCTTATTTAGATACATGTAATGACATTTTACAAGTCTGTATCATTTGCTGCCAACCCTTTCTGAACTAGAGCCAAATAATTCGTGCTTCTAAACTAAAACCAGAACTAAACTAAAGTACATTAGATAGAATCATACAAGGACTTGTACTATATAAAGGACTTACTTGGTTTCACAGTTGTTGTAGTAGGTGTCTTTCCTATAACAATGTATATTGAAATGTAATGTTATTGTGTATCTTAAATCAATGTTATCCCTGAAAAAGCAGGGGATATCCTCTTTTTATAGATAAACTTCCAATTTAATACATACTATGTCATTGTAAAATATGTATGCTTGCCTTCTTCAGATCCTATAGTCACTGAAATATCATCCACTGCAATGTCAGAATCCCAGTTAGGTCCACGTATGCTAGTGAATGCCACTTTGAAGTTCCCAGCTGGTAGCTCCACCATCACAGACTTCCACTCTTTGCCTTGGTCTCCTAGAAAGTAGAAAGGATAATAGGACAATTGAAACAGATTACAAATACCTTTTACTCCTTGTCTTTTTGGACTTCATAAAACAGAAGTGAACGCTACTCGCAAATGATATCCATTGCATGGAATAAGTTATTTTATTTAAAAATAGCGCAACTGCCTATAGCCTACACAATTTAAGATCCCACCCCGTGTAATTGCACAATAAGGTACGTAATTGTCATACTTTGAAATTATTTTAAAAATGTAGCTCCAATTAAATTACTTCTTGATGATAGAACAGTCATATTACTGAACTACAACACTATATGAATCAATAATACTTACCAGATATAGTTTTTATCACTTGTCCCTCATTCATATCATTCACGAGAGAGACGTCCAATCTACCAACGTTTTTACCATTCATATTGTAACTGAACGTGAGTGTCTTCTCTTTGTTTACTGTTGAAACGCCAGGGCTGTAAAATGTTGCCTTCTCATCGGGTTGTCTTGGTGGAGACGCCTCAGTAAAAACATAATACCCTTTAACGAAAAATAGATATTAACACTTTCATACATTAGTCGCTCGGTAGTGACAGTCGAAAAATGTTCAATAGTCATTGGATGAAACTACATCGTTGAGTTTTTGTAAACATTCAAGAAAAGTACAATTCGACTCATTCAAACCGCGCGACTGTGCATTTAGATTGACGTACATCATCTATAAGACGTACATCATATATAAGACGTACATCATCTATAGTACTATTACATGAAATAAATAATTAGTTTGATCAATTGGATTTATAGATGAAATATCATTACTTCTTTATAACCATACTGTTATCAAGTCACAAGTTTTAAACATAAAAAATCCAACATTTTCCTTTATTACTATCAAATTATTTGATACAACGATTATATATTTAATTACCATTTCCGTTCATTCCTCTCGTGTTGTCCCCTTTGGGGCCAGTAGAGCCAGAGGGTGTTTGGCCACGATGACGCATCCATCTGTAATCATCGGGGGTACTGACGTACTCGTTAACACCAACGGCATTGCAGTTATCAGACGATTCGAAATCACATGACCACAATACAGTGCCAGGTATCTCATTATCTATAAAATGAAGTTTTACATATTGATTAAAGTCATTATGGTTGAAATTAAAAATACACCGTTGTTGTATGTCCAGTATTAATGAAAACATGTTCAGGCCATTTCTTTTCGTTCTCCATACGTGAATCTCCGCGCATCATTCACTCTAGATACACACTAGTGGATGGTGTCTAAAGCCCCATGCATTCGGGGGATGATTTATTTTACCCAGTCATGCTTCAAAGTATCATTCTCACATTCATTCATCCTCAGAACAAACGACACATTTTAAGAGCATCTCTATACAGCCTTACACGACCAAGTTCATGCTGGGAATCCGATACATTTTGATTGAAATGTCTTAAAAAGCCGCATATGTCCTAGAAGATCTGAAATTCTTTTAACCCACCGGTCACATTTTCGGCCACGTTTTTCACGACCATTGAGTAAAAATCGACAATGTAAACTGGCAATTTTGCATAAACTAAAATATAATGTCGTTGTCATCAAAACTACAAGAAATATAACTATAAACACTTATATTTTTATGTTTTAGAAAACGATGTATGAAAAAGACATATCTGCAAAAGAAAAGTATCACGGTAAGAATATTAATTTTGACAATCACTATACTATAACAGTAGAGTGTTGGAACATTCAATTGGTCACATACCTCCTAACACGTTCTCTAAAAGTATGTCAAAATCACACGACTCAAAAGCCTTCCAAAAGTAGGGCATATTGGGTTCCCCCGCTGCAACAATCTTCATGACATTCACCAAATCTGAATTTCCCAGACAGCCATCGTCACGTTTGATCTCTTTAATCATATCTTTGCACTTTGGATTGCATTTAATCCCCGTAACATCGCAACTGTCGGTGGTTATTCGTTCACCAATACTTTTCAATGATTGGTTCATGTATGTCCACAGGTCCTCACATCGAGGGGCCGAAACTGGGAGGTTTCCCAGACTTTCCAGTTTTCCTAGCTCGCCATCACATGAATGATAGGATCGCCAGAAAGAATCCATCATGGGAATAGTTGCAGTGACGACTTTCATTAAAGCAATCATTCCAGCGTTTCCTAGGCAACCATCTTCACGCCTAATCTGTGCTATGTATTCTTTGCAATTTGGGTTGCAGGTTGCACCTGATTCATCACAGGTGCTGTTCAGTTTTTGACCAATACCCATCATTTCACCCGAGCTCATAAATGCCATAAAGTCGCACATAGGGCCATCGCTTGTAGTATTGTCTCCATTCAGTAATTCAGCGTCACAGGATCTGAAGGCTTGCCAAAAGAAGTTCATACCTGGAGTGTTTTCTGTGAATGTCTTTAACGACTTGACTACATCTTTATTCCCCAGGCAGACATCTTCACTTTTTGTCCTGGATATCAATTCTTTGCATTTTGGCAAGCAGATTATATTAAATACATCACAATTTTCCATCACATTCTGACTGAAAAGCTTCATTTTATCGTCCATATACGTCGGATTCTGACATTGAGGATCTGGAAAAAACATATTTGACAATCATTAACAAATGAACATGCTCCTGGATTGGTTAAGACAAAAGCGCAGTGTAAATTTGATTGAGAGATCAGTATACGTATAAGGTCAAATATTTTCATGCATAAAATCATGCATGCTTTGATGGCTCGAAATAAGCATTTGGCAATATTAATTCTAGCTTTACTTTTTAATTATTGACTTTAAAACTCACAAGGATATTCATATATTGGGTTATATCTTTTGATGATGAATTGCTTATACAAGTAGATCAAAACATTTTACGTTGAATAAAAATATGTATATGTTAATACCTATGATACTCATATCCGTGGCTATTTCTGCATCACAAGACTCAAACGCCTTCCAAAAGTAGGCTACGTCAGGATATGTTGACAAGTAAATCTTCATTACAGCAACCATTCCTGAATTCCCCAAACACCCATCGTCACGCTTGATCTCTATTAACATTTCTTTGCATTTTGGGTTGCAAGTTTCTCCCATGACATCACAACTGTCAGTGGTTATTCGTTCGCTAATACCTGTTAACGATTGGTTCATATATGTCCACAGGTCCTCACATCGAGGGGACGAAACTGGGAGGTTTCCCAGAGTTTCCAGTTTTCCTAGCTCGCCATCACATGAATGGTAGGCTCGCCAGAAAAAATCCATCATGGGAACAGCTGCAGTATAAATTTTCATTAAAGCAATCATTCCAGCGTTTCCTAGGCAACCATCATCTTGCCTGATCTGTTCTATCAATTCTTTACAGGCAGGGTTGCAAGTTGCACCAGAACTATCACAGTTGTTTTCGGTCATTTGTTTGCCAATACCCTCCAGAGATTGATTCATATATGTCTCTATATCGTCACATTTAGGACCATAATTTGGAGGAGTACTCCCCTCTAACTCGGCATCGCAGGACTCAAAACCACGCCAAAAGTAGTCCATGCCAGTATAAAACTCAGTGTATTGCTTTAACGAATGAACAACGTCTTTATTCCCCAAACAGTCGTCATGCCTGATCTGTAATACAACTTCCTTGCATTTTGGCATACAGACTATGCCAAACATATCACAGTTTGCAGTGAGTTGTTGACCAGCCATCGTCATTGTTCGGTTTAGATATGCAGTATCTTCACACTTTGGACCTGGGTGACATAGAGGCAAATATCATATTGGATAATATCCAAAATTGAAAAAGAGTTATCATTTGATTAGATTTCATCTTTTATATATGTCTTTAACAGTACAAGTACGCACTATAATGATGTCTGAGTGGGGACAAATGTTCAAGCATCTACAGAAGTCAGTTTCTGTTAAATTCATAAAATATTAAGCGTTGAGGACATTTTATGCATCACTCTCTTTGGTATATTGGTACTCGTAACTATACACATTTGTCACTAGCAACATGATCTGATGACGATTCTGACCTCATAAGTAGTAGTGGGACATGATTTAATGTTCCCAACGATTCGCAAAAGTTTTGGAAAATCAACTAAATACGATATAAAAACAACGACAAACATAACAAAGCATTTTCTTTTATTTTAGAAATTGTACCTCAGCTCATTAAATAAAAGAAACTCAACAGTGCAAAATGAAATGAAAACAGGTAGCATATTCAATTTGGCAATATCTATACTTGATTGTAATGTAAAGTGTCAGAACAACCAACTGGTTACATACCTACTATAGCGTTATCCATTGCTATTTCTGCGTCACACGACTCAAACGCATTCCAAAAGTAGGGCATGTTAGGTTCTCCCGCAGCAACAATTTTCATCACCATAACCAAATCTGAATTTCCCAGACAACCATCGTCACGTTTGATCTCTTGAATCATTTCTTTGCATTTTGGGTAGCAAGCTTCTCCCATAACATCACAACTATCGGTGGTTATTCGTTCACCAATACCTTCTAACGATTGGTTCATATATGTCCAAAGGTTCTCACATCGAGGGGCCGAAACTTGAAGGTTTCCCAACGTTTCCAACTTTCCTAGCTCGCCATCACACGAATGATAAGCTCGCCAGAAAGAATCCATCATGGGAACAGTTGAAGTGTGGACTTTCATTAAAGCAATCATTCCTGCGTTTCCTAGGCAACCATCTTCACGCCTGATCTGTGCTATGTATTCTTTGCAATTTGGGTTGCAAGTTGCAGCTGATACATCACAGATGCTACCCAGTTGCTGACCAATAGCCATCATCGATTCATTCATATATGTCATCAAGTTGTCGCATGTAGGCCCATCGGTTGGAGTAGTATCTCCATTTAGTATTTCGGCATCACAGGACCTAAAGCCTTGCCAGAAGTAGTCCATGCCAGGTACATCTTTTGTGTACATTTTTACCGAGTCGACTACATCCATGTTCCCAAGGCAGACATCTTCATATTTTATCCTGGACAACAATTCTTTGCATTTTGGCATGCAGATTATTCCGAGCATATCACAGCTTGCGACAAGCTGCTGACTAATAAGCGTCATTGATTGGTTCATATACGTTGGATCTTGACATCGAGGAGCTAGGAAAACAAATATGATAATCATCTACTGATAAATATAGCTGCTACATAGGCTATCAAAAATGTACATTGTAAAGTCTGATTTCAGGATAGTTAAGGTAGAAATGGTCATAAAAAGTATATATTTTTCTCAAATAAGTACATCCCTTGACTATCATGCATGCTTCGATGGCTATGGCTTGAAATAAGTATATGTCAATATTAACTCTAGTTCTATTTTTCATTTTTGACTGAAAATGGTACAAGGATATTGATATATTGAGTTATAGCTTTTAATATTATTAAATTGCCGGTATTTATCTTTGATGAATAAAAATGAAATATGTTCATACCTATGTTGCTCATGTCCATGGCTATTTCTGCATCACACGACTCAAACGCCTTCCAAAAGTAGGCCACGTCAGGATATGTCGACGTGTAAATTTTCATAACAGCAACAAGTCCTGAATTTCCCAGACACCCATCGTCACGTTTGATCTCTTTTATCATTTCTTTGCATTTTGGGGTGCAAGTTTTTCCCATAACATCACAGCTGTCGTTGGTTATTCGTTCACCAATACCTTCTAACGATTGGTTCATATATGTCCAAAGGTCCTCACATCGAGGGGACGAAACTGGGAGGTTTCCCAGAGTTTCCAACTTACCCAATTCGCCATCACATGAATGATAGGCTCGCCAGAAAGTGTCCATCATGGGAACATTTGCAGTGTATATTTTCATTAAAGCAATCATTCCTGCGTTTCCTAGGCAACCATCTTCACGCCTGATCTGTGCTATCAATTCTTTACAGCCAGGGTTGCAAGTTGCACCAGAACTATCACAGCTGTTTTCTGTCATTTGTTTGCCAATACCTTCCAGCGATTGATTCATATATGTCTCTAGATCGTCACATTTAGGGCCAAAACTTGGATAACGACTCCCCTCTAACTCAGCATCGCAGGACTCGAAACCACGCCAAAAGAAGTCCATGCCAGGATAATTCTTAGTATATTGCTTAATCGAATGAACAACGTATTTGTTTCCCAAACAGTCGTCATGCCTGATCTGTAATACAACTTCCTTGCATTTTGGCATACAGACTATGCCAAACATATCACAGTTTGCAGTGAGTTGTTCACCAGCCATTGTCATTGTTCGGTTTAGATATGCAGCATCTTCGCACTTAGGAACTACAAAGATAACCATAAACCATGAACTAATGATATAACATACTTTTGCAGTCTTTGCCATAATGGCGTTTCAAAAGTAGGATAAATTAAGTTTTATTCTAACCATAACATATTACATTTAACTATTACAATGTGGCACAAGGTTGAGGCACAAAATAACCGAAACGCGATGAAAATCCAAAGAGGATAATCTACAAATGTGGGACGATTGAACAGGTTCGTCTCAAAAAAGGAAACGTCTAGAACATATCTTTCAATAAAGCGTTGGCGAGGCTGTTGCTTCAAAAGTCTCATTCCTAGCTACGGCAATGTACCAAAGGGAAATGACCACGAATTGTTACAGAACACAGCAACGAAAAGAAAACATCTAAGAGTACACCAGTCATAAGGAAAACAAACCCCAAGTATTGCAAAATATGATCTAACGTAAAAAGATTCATTGTCTTACAGTCCCTATAAATGAAGCATCATCATCATCATCATCATCATCACAATCCGATATATCATACACTCAGGTGATGTGGGAAGACAAATTAAACTACAGCCTTGAAGTATGTTATAAGCTGATCAAAGGGCCAACATCCATCAGCAAAGCCGACGCCATAATATGTTACAGATACTAATTGCTATTTTGCAAGTCTTAAAAAGATAATTAATGGATCAGAGAACACCGACTTTATATTCAATATTGCCAATCTTGTGAACAAGGTTACCATAGTTCCTATAGGGTCCGGGTACAGGCTCATACTACACAATACATATTCTGAACTTTTCACTGATCAATTGAAATGGCTACATTTGCGCATTTATTTATTTTAAAAATGTATTTATTTTAACAGCAGTTCCAAAGTATTGCATTATTTTGACTAAATCTGCCAGCATTTCAAAGAAGAGTAAAGGTCACCAAAACAATATCTATATTTTTAATGGCAACATTAACGATTTCATAACAAAACTAACAGTACTCTGGAGAATTACTTGAGAATCGTGATTTGATAAGGGGGCAACATTGTAATATTAAAATTAATATGTATAATGTAAAATAAAATGAAAATATAGGAGGGAGATTAGTTATTAGAAACCTTTTAAGAGAAATAACATGAATTCAACAAGCTGTCAGGCATACTACTATCATATTAATATATAAAATATGTTATGTCTTTGGTCAAATATAGGAATGCCCAGTTTTGGATTTAAAGGACATTTAAAGGCTCTATATAAAGTTGGAAATGAAAATGTATGTTTATCATTCATTTACTTTTATTTACTATTACGTGACTTTAAGGGTTATTTAAGAAATTTAAAAAAATCTTTTTTGGAAAGGGTTGTCAGGATTTTTTATTTTTCAATTTAAATTTCCCGCCATTTTTCAAATCAAGGTTTTTTTAATCATCAAATATCCCATAATACAGTGCAAAACAAATTATCTTTACGATACCATTGCGAAGATTGAACAAAGGACATGCTATTTCAATAATAAAATATCATATCAAACATGCCACTTAAAATGCATTTTTCTCTAAACCACTTTCATGCATGGATGAGTTCATTTCTCGCTTACCTAACAACCCATTTTCTTATTGTTTCTGTAAAAGACAAGTAAGGATAAATGCTATGCATTGGTGTGAATTACCGCTTATAAAAATGTGTGTGAGCTCTAAAATGTAGTTTTAAATGAATTCACGATTTTCAAACAAAAAGTCCTTCAAAAACCACTTTTTGAAATTTAAATTTAAAGTTTCACATATTCCATTTTGATATCAAATACTACTGACAATAAAACCCGAAGTGGTCTGAACTTTACATGGAGTCTTTTAATAAAAATATGGGCTTTGAACAAATTTATTGGTGACATTCATGAATCTAAAGAATTCAAACTGGAAATCATGAATTCTATTGGAAATAACAATAAGGAAATTAAAAGGGAACTATTAAGATTTTATCCACCTTTTGTCTTGGTAAATTGATGTTGAGGTGATACTTCATATCTTTTGAGCCAATATGAAGAATGTGCAGATTAAAATTGATCACTGGTGCGAAAACGCATTCCCCAAAAGACAGGGTGGTGATCAGCGTCACTGTTTTATGAATCATAAATAATACATTGGAACTGTTAAGAGCATAGAGTTCAAATCAAAATACACAATTGCATGTGAACCAGTCGAGGTAAGTATTATTGTCCTTTTTTGTGAGGCGAACCATGAATCAATATGTCATCTTCTGTTTGACTGAACTAATGCAAGTGATTTGTTAAGTGGTATTACAAATAGTCCCCACTGGAGCTAACAATGCTAACCTATATTTCCTTTTTATATGCCAAAATGTATATTTCATTAACATCGAATTATATACAAAACCTATATCACTTAACATGCAACATGCATTGCGTCAAATGTGAAGTTCCAAGCAATTTCTAGACGTGCAAAGCTAGTCTAGAAACTCCGCGTATCATGCAACACTATATGGTGATTGCTTTACATATCATTTTCTTAAATAAAAAGTAGATAAATAATAATGTGGTCTTAAGAATCGTCCCTCCTCACTAAATCCATCATCTGGTTACATAACCATAACGTGATATTGATAAAATGTCAAGTCGCTATAGTTACAATATAATAAAATTTTAATTCTCTTCGAAGGTCTCGTTCAATTAAATGTTATGGTAGAACAAAGCTAGATTTAAAAGACCCTCATTTAATTCATAATTACCCTCTTGTGCGTGCACTATCGCTCCAGCCAACAGGACAGTCCCGAGGATCACAGGGGATAGGCGAATCATGTTGCGACTTCCTTCCCTCCCGAGCTAAAATGTCTTCCCTTCCGTACACGTCCGTACCTTGTAAGAAAAGTAAAGTTATGTGACTATTTGGTTCTTCTGGATTAACATTTATATAAGGCTTTAGTTGTTTTTCGAAAAACTTTTGAACATTACGATTGCGTTTGTAACGGGATTTATCAAATCCATTGAATATTTTAAGTAAGTGAAATAACAAGAGTATATCCTTTGATTTAGATGTAAGAATAACACTAAATAAAACAATTACTTACTGTTAAATGCTTTCTCTGGGTGAATCACGCAGAACGTTCTCTTGTAGACTCCCAGTCAAATGTCAGCTCCAAACGCGCTGTGCATACATTTATATATTGGCATATTCACAAACAAGTGAAGTAAATCGTTTCCGCATAAGCACACAATGCTATTGGACAGAGTTGACCCTCCCCAATACTTATTTCAACTACAGACGGTTAAAATTATTTTTCTTTGCATAGATAGGCTATATTTAGAGTAAAGAATCGGGTATGGTATGGTATGGTATGGTACCGTATTATATGTTATTATGCACCTCATTAAAATGCTCAAATCTGATTGGTTAAGAGCTGCAGGGTCTATTGCCATACGTGGCAGCAAGATCTCGTTTTATTCAGTATTGACGCAACGAGATCTCCAACGATCCCGTATTTTTAATACCATACCCCCAAGAGTGAAATAAAGTATTTCTTGACAATTTATCACCATCTTTTATTGAGGTGTATATCGCAGAATACCTATCCTCGAAAAAATACATCCAGTATTTGTTAAATATGGTACCGTATGTTATGGTATGATGTGGTAAAATAAATATTCTGTATGTATAAGCTATATTCATTGATACGATTTTTATTCAATGTTGGTTATAGTTTCACGCTTTGGTTCTTATTTGTGATGGTGATTAATGGCACATTGCAAAATTCACAATTGTTACAATGGTCCCGACAATGGTGAACACTTGTTTGTATGGAAATTGAATTCACTTAGGGTTAGTCTTTAAATCATCATGATAAACCATGGCATCTTATTCCTTCTCAGTCCTGAGATCATGCTTCTGGTGAAACGGGTGCTATGAATATCAGAATGTCATCCCTGTAACAGGGATCAATCTGAAAAACCTCTTTTGTAAATACAAAACTGAACATTCAGTACATGCATTGAAATTAAAATATTTATTTTAAGCTATCTGTATCTGTCCGCTCCTTACAACAAAAGTCATGATCATTCAATCATGAATCATGACTATGTCGGTCTCGAACGAAAAGTTCAATAATTGAGGTCAACGGAATGATGATTTGAACACACGTGATTCACGCATGATATAGTGAACACCCCCTGCTTAGGAAAGATAAACTCCAAAGTTAAATTATTCGAGCACATGATTACCTGACTGAACTTTTGTGATTTTAATTCAACTAAACGAGAAAAATTAAGAAGCTAGCCTGATCTTATATACTATATTGCTTCATGTAAATAGCATTCAGAAAATGTACTCATGATGACAATGGAAATATTGTCATTTTGTTCATCATTATACCGTTCTCCTGTAAAGACTAGTGACCTCTTATTTTCTGAAAACAATAAGAGTTTATAAAGTGTGCAGTATTACCAATGATAAAAATAAAACTTGCAGTTGACGGAACAATAAAAAGGCATCATTACCATAACAAAATGCAACCACATGGTAGCAATAGCAAATGGTTACAAAAATGTAACAACTGTACGCCGACCATGTCAATATGTAAATTGTGAAATTAAAACCAGGTTTGCAAATGAAATGTGAAATGTATAATCGTGATCGTAATGAATGCCAAACACTGTATTATGTCACAAGCAGCTATAGATAATGATGATCACACCAGAACACCTCGAGCAAAACATAAAACTGTTGGTCCAAGACGTGAGAAAATATTTATTCAATCACATTTTGTACTTGTATACAGTATGCTGTATGCTTTTTAAATCTTTGTGAACCATTATTTCGAAATCTTGATATGAATCATTATTTCAAAATTTGAATGTATCAATGTTTATTTATTGTATTGAAAGGTCTCAACTCGTGCCAATTTTCTTTTATCGTTGAATAATAGTTACAAATGATTGGATTTTGTATGGTTGACTATGTTTGATTCATATATATGGCGTGATTTCTTATTTTGAGTTCTTGAATGGCTCAATCTATAAATATTATATACCTAAAAATACCACCCCTCTTAATTTAATTCGTAGTAAGCAGTAACATCCAGGTATTGATAAAACAAATATCAAAGCTCGAAAATTACTGATCTTGTTAACAGTATGAGAATTCTAATTATAATGGCGTCTAATGGACCCGCCCCCTTGGGCTAATTTACTTTCCCCGGGATTTTTATCAAGGTGCTGAGGTAAAGGAGTCTCGGAGGAAAGAAGAACTATGTGCTCTGGCGAAAGAATTGGAGAAGCTAGGCTTCAAGTGATGATGAGGCACACCCCGCTGGAAAAATCCTGGGAACGCTCCTAAAATATCCATGAGATAATTCTCAAAAGCCGAAAAACTTTACTCAGTTATATACTGCGCGTGAGAAGGGCTCGACAATAATTTGATGAGTTTGAATTACGTTACATACAGAGCATCCTTCTATGTATTACTATTTAGTAATTTTGTACCCGGAATATGTTCATAAATTTTGAATAAATGACCCCGAAAATGTCAAACATGGCATAATCTCAAAATTATTATTACTTATACCATGCAAACTTGGTAGAAATATCACGATCAAACAAAAACAACTGTTTTTGGACGGATAAACTGACAGCAAATTGGCTGTTTTTCTTCAGGCATGTTGGCTCATTCTCAATATGCAATACAAACACGCAACATAGCACTACATATAACGATCATAACATACACATGTACTCTACTTCACACATATCCATCTTACTGACAATATGGACAGCACATACAAAAATACAAAATCATGCAGACTAAAAACACACGCCCAAGCACTTATACAATGATATTAGTACAATAATCACTTATATCAGACATGATTTAAAGAGGCACTGTCCGAGGTATGTCTTCCCAAAATAACTAGAAATAAGACAATGCCACTTAAATAATCATGGAACAAGTATTTAGATTACATTATACTGCAGTATTAAAGGCAGAATCAGAGGTAGCAAACAACTTTTCTTTTAAGAAATAATCTCAAAATATATTGGCCTCAAGACATAAATATTCTGATTCACATCTACTAAACTCTATGTTTATTCTTTCCTTTGTTCATTATTCTCCGACATTATCAAATGAGTTTAAAGTTTTTTTTAAAGTTTTTTGTTCCAATTTGGTCTTCACATAGCTAAGAATATTTGATTTGCGTTAGGTGCGTGAAGCTTTTTCACTGTTTTGGGAATGATTGAATTAAAGATATCAAAAAATGGGCAGATAAGGAGAATAATCTCAGACGGTTATATCTTTCACCATGAGTACCATGTTACTCCTGACAATAATTTTTCAAATTGTCCGACTTATTTTCATTGGATAAAGGAAATATGCCATTTCTAAGGTACAATGGTATTGAAAGATACCAACTTTTGTTTACAAAATTTAGGCTGAAAAATATGAGTTTTCTCAACTAAAAATAACATGACACATGTTGTTTTTAACTCTAACTTTCAACTCCGTCTCCTTCCAGAAGTTATGTATACTGACAAGAAACTTTTAACATATTGTAAAACAGAGAAAGACGAGAAGCTGAATTGTTGCCTGCAAATTTGTCATCTCCTATTCTCTGATTCTAGCTTTATAGTTAAGCTGTATTTTAGAAAATAATATGCTCGTATCTAATAAAAACACACTCACCAGTTGTTGCTTGTGTGGTACTGGCTGTTGGGGTTCTAGCTGTTGTGACTCTCTCTGTTGTTGGGGTTCCAGCTGTTGTAATTCTCTCTGTTGTTGGGGTTCCAACTGTTGTGATTCTCTCTGTTGTGACTCTCATTGTTGTTGGGGTTCCAGCTGTTGTGACTTTCTCTGTTGTTGGGGTTTCAGCTGTTGTGACTGTCTCTGTTGTTGGGGTACTGGCTGTTGTGACTTTCTCTGTTGTTGGGGTTCCAGCTGTTGTGACACTCTCCGTTGTTGGGGTACTGGCTGTTGTGACTTTCTCCGTTGTAGGGGTTCCAGCTGTTGTGACTCTCTCTGTTGTTGGCGTTCCAGCTGTTGTGACTCTCTCCGTTGTTGGGGTTCCAGCTGTTGTGACTTTCTCTGTTATGGGACTTTTCGTTGTTGTGGCCCTCTCTGTAGTTTGAATTTTTGTTCCAGTGCTCTGTGTTGTGCTCTCAATCGTGGTTGGTTTGATGGTTGTAGGTGATCTGGCTATTGTGCTAGTACTCATCTCAATTGTTTCAAGATCAACAGGAGTAGTTTCTTCCATTGGAGTCACATTACCATCTTCCGTAAAATCATATTCAGTTGTTGTTTCACCTTCACTCTCAAATGTAGTCACTTCCATTTCATAATCAACTGTAGTATTCTCAATTTCAGGTGTTATATTTTCCTCATCAATGGTGTTCTGATCGTCTTTATAAGTTGTGGACTGTGTCCTGGCTGTAATAGTAGTCTGCCGGCTAGACATAGAAGTTGTCACTTGTGGTGTTGTACTAGGTTCGGTGGGTCTCGTTGGGCCAGGTGTTGTGAATGTGTATGTAGTGTTGTACTGTATGCATCGTTTGTCCGCGGGAGGTTCCGGAAGACCATGTATTGCATAGAGGGAGACGGTTCCACTTGCGGCGCCTGTGACCAGCAGCAGGGGCTCGCAGGTAGGACTTTTGTCATATGGTATGAATCTGAAATAACATTTTAAGAACTTTCTAATTTTCGAAGGACTAAATGATATTAGACAATGCAGTATGACATTATGAATACTCACCACAATCAAAACCCCCGCACATTCACAATTACACGTGTGATTGCTAGAAAGCTTGTGTGTAGTACTGAACCACATTTAGGTTCTGTCATCAGTACGTACATATGAACGCTCTTACGTTATTCTTACCTTAGGTCCTCAGGATCTATATCACCGATATTTCGTTCCTCATAGAGTTGACGCCATGTGCGGTCGGTATCACCAGCTCTGTTAATGCTCTCTAACTCGGGCACTGTATCATCTAGGCCCATAGAATACACCATAATCGTTGAAATTCGTTCATTTCCAACAAACATATATCGTTTATTTTCTATTTCAACCAGTTCAATCGATTCGGGTTCCGGCCCCTGAAATGAAATAATTGAATTCCTAGATTTAGTTTCAATTTCTATAACTTATTATTGTTAAATGCCGAACAAATCCATGCCACTAAATCACCTTATTCATTCATGAAGATGGTCTTTAATACATTTTCAGCTTTGGTGCTCGATTCTGAGATTTTGACTCTATTCTACAAACATGTTATACTCTTTGTTGGTTTTCGCATGATGACATAAAATATTAATTAAAAGCATTGGCGATGTACCTGCTCTTGAATGATTCATAACCAATGAAGAAAACGATAACCTGCCAAAAATGAAACCTCAAGGCCTACCCTATATGTAGATCTGGTGTCTTTTGACTGGCTTGGTACTTGTGTTTCCTCTGCAATGTGACTGTTAAATATTTTGCGGTACTGCTGTCCGTGTTGAATCTCAATTTCACTGTCGCTGTCGTATAATAATGCCATATTGCTGGCGTTCCAAACGGAAATGCTTCGACCTCCGAATGTATAAAATCTATCAAACTTCCCTCTCTCATTTTCCCCTTCGACTTTGCTAAATTGTAACCCACCTTCAAAAGAAAAGAATGACAGATCAATGTTAATGGAAGGTCTCATTACCAATGTTTGAGAGATAAAAGTCAATAATTCTATTTAATTTAAAACTTAAATAGTCATGACTCAGGATCATCCGTCTGTCCGTATGTCTTTTTCTGCCTTTCAAGAAGTTCTGCCCTTCCAATTCAACATGCAAATCGCTCATATAAATCATGGACTTACAGAAATACTTTTATTAGGCTAATAGTGTTCGTTTATATGTCTAAAATAATTAGCTACTTCGTTCATAAACAGTCTTCAATACGTCCATCTCATTCGCAGTTCGTTCAGGTCGCACCACGTCGGTGTGCAACGTCGTATAACGCGTCCCTTAGTCTAGAAGGTCATCATGACCTGATTACAGAACGGTATGGTCGCCATCGAATTTTGAATCGATTCAAAATTCTAAATCACATTCCCCGTCCGGGAGAGTCCATGAAGTTCGTAAACAGACCGTAGAACGTCGAAGCTACGTTCATTCAGTTCGCACACAGTTTAAAACCGATTCGACAACGTTTTGACGATCACCAGAGCATTTTTGAGCATGCTCTAAGTTCTGGAGGACCTACTCGTTCTAGTAGTTTCATGAAGTTTGTAAACAGATCCCAAACGGTTCTTAGTGGGTTCTTAGTACGTCAAATCCGTTCGTGCACAGTTTAAGCCCGTTTCGAGAACATAGTGAGAACTAGTTTGGTGTGATAGTAGGGTTAAATGTGGCTATAGAATTAAATTACACTTTGGTATTGGATTCATCGTGAAAGGCCCTCCCTTTTCCCGATGAGTAGAGTGGGTCATTTTTGGTGAATTTCTAGGGTCCTACTTTTGAAAAGTTTAAATGATAGTTTCAAAATGAGACCCTATAAAGGCCATTTGTTCGTTTATTAAAATAGAACGGAATGTTTTAATTTAAAAAAAAATTAAAGTGGATTCTTGGGGATGATGTGTTTAGCATTTATGGGCACGACAATGGCTGGAATTTTGATGTTTGTACTAAAGGATTTCTGAAAACGGTGTATGTGAAACATAACACAGCGTGATTTTAACCACTTTAATGATTTTATATTGACGCACCTTTGAGTGCCACTGTTATAAAAGTGACTGTCAAATAAATAATAAATAAATAAATATACTACCTAGAGATCTGTAGCTATTCAGGCCATCAGACACCTTTGTAGGAACTCTCTCCTTATCGACTAGGTTTTCTAAAAAAAATAATGCCTCCTATATGTATTGGAACGTTTGTTGTTCGTTAAAGGTGCCATCTTTAAAATAAGAAACGAAGTTTCTTTGCTACTTGCTGGAGATATTACAATGAGTGTGCATGCACCTCTTATAATTCTAAAAAGAAATTTATATTATTCACTGAAAATGCGAGCAGATTTTTACAAGTCTAGTATTAATGTTAAAGAGATTTTTGTCAAAGTATATTGATTCTTACTAATAATTCTGATTTCTTTTCAATTTTGGTTTGTTTTAAGATTAGAAATAGGAACTGAACCCTTTAACATCACACCTGTTCACAAATTTTGAGAAGTGTGCGTAGCCCTACACCTACTACATAGTACATACACGTTTTAGTGACTTCGAACAATATTAAAACCACTCATCTTTGGAAATGACATTGATGACCAAAAACATCGATAGGTTGTTTTGTTGAACAATTACAAATTATTTAAAAAAACTATTTGTACAAATATGATACTAGTAGTGTGATTCGAAACGTATTTATAATTTACTATTAATTATGTTCTTATTTACCACTTGGAAATGTTTTCCCTTCCCAGTTTTCTGACCAGGTTATACCCTCTTCGTCCACACGGTATACTTTATGCATGCCCTCATTGGCTGTAACCAGGTAACCCTCGTGGTCTGGGTCTGAACCTTTAAAGTACTGAATCCCGTCAGGCTGGTACCAGGCACTGATGTTCCAAGGCCGAATATTGATACCTGAAACACGACGAACATTTACGATTGAATTTTGCCTGGGATCAGTTCTCTATCTTTATTGTACATTTATAATTGTTTTTATACAATGATGTTTTCCCCAAGCCCAAAGGCTTGAATTGTTTCAAAAAGAATCTGATATAAATGAACGACTTGACTGCCATCTGTATATGCTTAAACCCTATGATATAATGTAAAATAAGGTCTGGACAAGGATTCTGAAGGGGTCCTACGGACGTATTACACTGGCAGGTTGATCCAAGACCAAATTGACAATCTACTAGTTTTTCACATCGGTTGAAAAACTCGGGCTCAAGAAAAAGAATACAAAAAATGTTTCAAAGTGTCATCTTTTTAATGCAACCATTCAACAACATTTGAACATACTCTTCAAAAACGATTGACCAATGATGGATTCGAAACAAGAGATGTGACTGATACAGTGTTACACTGTGTACTTACCCCCGTCATTAGAGGAAGAATCAAACCCAGTGCCTAGCCATGACTTAGATCCCAACCCATAAATATCAATAATGCTGTCTGTAAGTAGGTCAACTCTCACAATGGCATTATTTTCCTGGAAGAAAAGACAGAAGAGTTCATGTATCAAAATATATGTGTTCGTCTTGTGTCAAGTCACGGCAAAATCAAGTTTAACACCAAGGCTCTGCCAAGTTAAATCATATTTAGTGCCAAGGCTCTGTCTAGGCAAGGCTATTCAAGGCTTTTCCGGGTCAAGGTGTCAAGACGCTGTCGGGGGCTCAGTTAAGTAAAAGTATGTGTCAATTCTCTGTTTAGTTAAGTGCCAAGGCTCTGCAAGGTTAAGTGTGATGTCAAGTTTTTACCAAGTCAAATCTACCGTCAAAGCTCTGCCAATTCAAGCTTATTGTCGAGTCTCTGCCCATTCCCATTTATTTTCATCTACCAATGTTGGTGGGGGCAACATGGGAATTACTCAAGACTAAATGTGTACATATATATTCATCAACTTATCACATGCATTGTTATCGGTGAATCAACTCACCTGTAATGTAACATATGCCACTGTTTCATCAGTGTTGAGTACAACCGATTTTGGTTCCACATCCTGCGAGAATGAACTTTTAAACGAGGTCTGGGGCAAACCTCTGTATAAATAGCGTACCCCACTTTGTTTGTAAGATTCATATCTGAAATGAGATGGAATGGTATATCTAAAATATTACGAGTTTTTTATTCTTTGAGGCTTCCTCAGAGTCCATTTTCTGCCCCTCGTTGGGAACATAGAGGACTGTTTTACCCTCTAGCTTTCAACGGGTGTCCGTTAAACTCGCCAGGAACTTGTGAAGCTGAGCTGAGAAATCGTTTTTAATACCTAGAAGGGGTTAAGAAAATTTCATTAAGCTAAAAATATTTTTGGAAAAGTTGTCTCAATAATAGGGTCTTTGCTGTAATACACGGTCTCAAATAAGTCCCACCCCACCCTCTATTGCCAAAACCAAGATACACGGTACCAAGTGTGATATATTATTATGAGCTTTATTATACTTGTATCCCACTTTTGGGCATGTTGTACAGCTTATATACAAAAAATAAAATGAAAACGCCTATTTATTTTTTCAATTGAGTTGACCACAGACTTAGAAACATTACAATTTGGGTATCTGGCATGATTTTAAGAATCAAGCATAAGAAAAATCAAAGAAGTTCACGATGAAGCAGTAACCAATTTTTGGATTTGGTTATGTGTAGGAAATAGAGGGGCATAGCAAGGATAGTGGTGAAGATATTTTTCGTAGCTTTTATATATAACAATTTATTCCATAGTTAGCATGATATTCATAGGATAACATGTCAAAATAAAAACGGTATTTTTGTAATCAGTGATAAAATATAAAATATGATATTTTTGACAAATTTTCACTTAATTATAACATACGGTTTTTTAGCCATGACATACGACGTCGTATGCGATGGTTTATATATTTTTGCTACTTCAGATTCAAAACGAGGCTAAGTGTCAACATCGCCGGTGTGAAAGAAATGATGGTCCCCCAGGGATTATGGTACCCTTTCTCAACGGCCCTTACTGGCCCTGATTGCGCATAAGATAATGAGGGAAAGAGTTGTATTTAGGTCACCATATAAATCAATGGAGAGTAGGACCATAATTTGATAGGACCTCCCACCCTTTTACACCGGATCGTTTGGAAATTCGAATTAAATAACTTAATTTCCGACGATTCTGATGATGACTTTAACTATGGAATAAAAAGAACATCCTATGATTTACTCGTGATATGATTTTAATCCACTCATGGATATTGATATCTGCACTCTCTCGCTACATTCGCTCGTGCAGATATCATATCCATTCGTGGATAAAAAACATATCACTCATAAATCATAGGATATCCCCTATTTATCCGATGGATACTAAATATATATGGGGATAACGACACAAGATAATTTTGGTATGCGCCACTAAAATCGTATCCGATCCATATGACGTGATATCCAATCGTATCCGACGGATACTATTAAAAAAAATTTGAAAAAAATGAGAAAAATTGAATTTTTTTTTATTCAATTCGGAATAGATTTTTGGAAAAAGAATTTGAAAAAAAATTTGAAAATAAAAATTGAAAAAAGATTTTGAAAAAATGAGTCAATACAAAATAGCGACCATAGGATAAATATGATATCCTATTCTTTTCTCGGCTATCATTTTTATCCACTCTTGGATATCGCCGATCTCCACTCATTCGCTGCGCTCACTGGTGGAGATGGGCGATATCCACTCATGGATAAAAATGGTATCCTTCAAAAATCATAGGATATCCTCTATATATTATTTGAATATACGTTTTTGTGACAGTGAAATTCGTTGGTCTCAAGTAGTACAAAAAGTTATCATGCGATTTACATCTGGTTTATTGTATCTGTAAGAAATTGAATTAATTGAGAATTAGATGGAATTTCATGTAGATTGAATGATTATTTATAGATGATATTATTATAACAAGAATGTGCTCTGGGGTCCCCAAAAATGAACCCGAAAATCAAAAAAGGATAAAGGTACAAAGTATAGGAAAGTTGTAATTCATACATGTTCTTCATAATAACAAAGTTAATTTTCAAGGGGTTTTCAATCACTTTTCATTTTACATCAATCACTTTTCATTTGGAATTGGACAATCACTTGTCATCTGACATCAATCACCTTTCTTTTGGAATTTGACATCAATTATTTTTCATTTGACATCAATTACTTTTTCATTTGGAACGATTTGGAATTAGACTATTTTGATATCAATGACTTTCATTTTGAATTTGATATCAATTACTTTTCATTTGGATTTTTGGAATTAGACTATTTTTACATCAATCACTTTTCATTTGGACGGTGACATCAATCACTTTTCATCTGACATCAATCACTTTTCAGGGCTTATTGTTTTTTTGTGATATCCATGGAGAAAAAGCATTAAGATGTTACGCAATTCACTTGCTCTTCGGTCACACAAAAATTTTGAAAATACACTTAATTTTAAATTGATTCTAAAAGATGCATCAATATATCATTTAAATTGTAGTACATTATGTGTAAATTGCATGTCGCACGTTTTCAACAAAAACTGTTCATCCAAGCGCACTAACACCACACTAATAGCTGTATCAACTTTGTCAATCACACTCGCGCTTCATTGTCATATTGCACCATATGTGTTTCATAGCAATAAACTGTGATATCTTTCAAAATAATGGTCTGGTCGTGGAGGACGCTTGGATAAGCTATTTTTGTTGAAAGCAAGTGAGCATGTAATTTGCATTGCACGACTTATTGTCATTTTTTATGATACCCTTATCTTGTATTCGCAAATGCAACTATAACGCCTGTCGCCAATCGGATTTACCTACTAGGTGTCTTCAATCATGAAAGCTCCACGGTGTTCATTTGTTATATTAGTGATTTTTGCATGTTTATTTATGTATATTTATCACACATTTAGTGTCGCACAATCAAGGAATAAAGGAATGAATGATGAATGCCAAACAAATCAAAAGAACAACATTTCTCAAAATTTTGGATTTGATCAAATGAACGTTACAGAGAATCTTAAATATAAAGTACCTAATATTGTGCACTATACATGGTATACAAAAAAACCGATAGAGTGGACATTTTTGCAATATCTTAGTGTATTGAGCGCATCAAAGTTCATAAAGCCATCAAGGATTATGTTTCACACAAACTGCACTCCAATTGGACATTACTGGAATCGAACAACTCAGATTCCAAATCTTGAAATTATTCAACGAAGTCCCCCAATTAAAATATTTGGTAAGAAAGTCCTCTTTTTTTATGAGACCTCGGCAACTAATATTGACAGACTTCTAATACTGAACAGAAATGGAGGTATATGTTTAGACACGGATGTGATAGCTTTAAAATCATTTGATCCACTTCGTGTTTACCCATTTACAATGGGTTCTGAAAGCATAACAAAATGGGTTCTATTAAGTGGAGGCATCATCCTATCAGAGCCTGGCTCAACATTTTTGAAAATATGGATAAACAATTACGTAGATGACCAGAGCTCACAATGGGCGTACAATTCCGGAAAAATGCCAACCAAAATTGCAGCACGCTTTCCAGAAGATATTCATATTGAAATGACATCACTACACCGGCCATCACACAAGGAACTCGATCAGATATTTGTTAGGAAGATCAACTGGCATAACAATTATGCAGTTCATATTATTGTTCGAAGGTGGAGAAAGCATATACCAACTGAAAGGGAAATAAATGCTTCTGATACAACATTTGGGGAAATATCAAGAATGGTGTTGTATGGCTCCATTCCATAAGACAAGCTTGATGTTCTATGTTGATATAAGATAATTTTAAATGTATAATGGAATAAAGACTGTAAAAGGGAATGCAAACATTTTATGCCACCATTTGTGATGTGATATATAAAAATGTATTTGACCCTCACCTAAATTAGTATGTTAAGGTGAGTTGGTAGTTAACAGGAAATGACAAAACAAAAAATGACAAAACCATGCTGGATTTTCAAAAATTTTCGAACCAAGATAAGAGAGTTCTGTTTTGACCTCCAGTCAGTTTAACTAGTTCCACATATCATTTACATGACCAGACACAATGGAAATGGTCAAAATGACCCTAAACTATGTTTTTGAATTTATTTTAGAACTTGAATTAAAAAAAGCAAAAATCGCGGCTAGCCCAAGCCCTAGCCAAAGGTTTAGGGTCGATAAAAATTTGACAATATCAGAAATTTATGTCAATCCTAACGTTTTGCTCCTTTTTGCTTCTTTCTAACAAATGTCGTATTCCATGTTCTTACAAAATAAGTCCAAATCGTGTGAAAAAAACATGTCGCTACTACAGTCTCAGCTGTATTGACTAGCCTTTATGGCCGTTTCGTTAGCGTCTGCCTCGTGAGGTTCGGGGTTCGATTCCCGCACTGGACATTGAATTTAGCTCCCTTTCGGGTCTAGTATCTGAGTTGTTACATTACAGCTCCCCGACGGACGTGCCAAGGGGTCGTTACATTGGTGTTAGAAGTGGGATTGCCCTTTGGAATCAGTTACGATGAGACGTCATCTTCCAAGGGTGGGGGGATTGTGTAATGACCTTCGCGTTTATGGCCGACTCGGTAGAGCATCAGCCTCTTGAGCGGAAGGTCCTGGGCTCGAATCCTGCACAGGCATTGGATTCAGCACACTCCCCTTTCGGGACAATTATCTGGCAGGTTACACTACAGCTCCCCCACAGACGTGTCCAAGGGTCGAAACAGAACATTGAACGAACATTTGCCAAATGAGATGTTTCAAACTCTGGATTACACTTGTAACACTTTGCTAAACCCTGTACTAACACACCCCCTATCACTAGCTTCAAAATCATGATAGATGAAACTAAACTACTGAAATCAAAAGATTACTTGATATCTCAAAATGTGTACCCTGCGCGCAGAGTCTAGTTAAACTACAAACACGTGTCTCGTTTGCCTTTCATTATATTGAGTGAAGCTCAGTGTAATGACTTTGACACTTGTCTAGCTTACCTTTCATTATATTATGTGAAGCTCGGTGTAATGACTTTGACACTTGTCTCGTTTGCCTTTCATTATATTATGTGAAGCTCAGTGTAATGACTTTGACACTTGTCTAGCTTGCCTTTCATTATATTATGTGAAGTTCAGTGTAATGACTTTGACACTTGTCTAGCTTGCCTTTCATTATATTAAGTGAAGCTCAGTGTAATGACTTTGACACTTGTCTAGCTTACCTTTCATTATATTAAGTGAAGCTCAGTGTAATAACTTTGACACTTGTCTAGCTTGCCTTTCATTATATTATGTGAAGCTCAGCGTAATGACTTTGACACTTGTCTAGCTTGCCTTTCATTATATTATGTGAAGCTCAGTGTTATGACTTTGACACTTGTCTAGCTTACCTTTCATTATATTAAGTGAAGCTCAGTGTAATAACTTTGACACTTGTCTAGCTTGCCTTTCATTATATTATGTGAAGATCAGTGTAATGACTTTGACACTTGTCTAGCTTGCTTTTCATTATATTATGTGAAGCTCAGTGTTATGACTTTGACACTTGTCTAGCTTACCTTTCATTATATTATGTGAAGCTCAGTGTAATGACTTTGACACTTGTCTAGCTTGCTTTTCATTATATTATGTGAAGCTCAGTGTAATAACTTTGACACTTGTCTAGCTTGCTTTTCATTATATTATGTGAAGCTCAGTGTAATGACCTTGACACTTGTCTAGCTTGCCTTTCATTATATTATGTGAAGCTCAGTGTAATGACCTTGACACTTGTCTAGCTTGCCTTTCATTATATCATGTGAAGCTCAGTGTAATGACTTTGACACCTGTCTAGCTTACCTTTCATTATATTATGTGAAGCTCAGTGTAATGACTTTGACACTTGTCTAGCTTGCCTTTCATTATATTATGTAAAGCTCAGTGTAATGACTTTGACACTTGTCTAGCTTACCTTTCATTATATTATGTGAAGCTCAGTGTAATGACTTTGACACCTGTCTAGCTTGCCTTTCATTATATTATGTAAAGCTCAGTGTAATGACTTTGACACTTGTCTAGCTTACCTTTCATTATATTATGTGAAGCTCAGTGTAATGACTTTGACACTTGTCTAGCTTGCTTTTCATTATATTATGTGAAGCTCAGTGTAATAACTTTGACACTTGTCTAGCTTGCCTTTCATTATATCATGTGAAGCTCAGTGTAATGACTTTGACACTTATCTAGCTTGCCTTTCATTATATTATGTGAAGCTCAGTGTAATGACTTTGACACTTGTCTAACTTGCCTTTCATTATATTATGTGAAGCTCAGTGTAATGACTTTGACACTTGTCTCGTTTGCCTTTCATTATATTAAGTGAAGCTCAGTGTAATGACTTTGACACTTGTCTCGTTTGCCTTTCATTATATTATGTGAAGCTCAGTGTAATGACTTTGACACTTGTCTAGCTTGTCTTTCATTATATTATGTGAAGCTCAGTGTTATGACTTTGACACTTGTCTAGCTTGCCTTTCATTATATTATGTGAAGCTCAGTGTTATGACTTTGACACTTGTCTAGCTTGCCTTTCATTATATTATGTGAAGCTCAGTGTTATGACTTTGACACTTGTCTAGCTTGCCTTTCATTATATTATGTGAAGCTCAGTGTTATGACTTTGACACTTGTCTAGCATGTCTTTCATTATATTAAGTGAAGCTCAGTGTAATGACTTTGACACCTGTCTAGCATGTCTTTCATTATATTAAGTGAAGCTCAGTGTAATGACTTTAACACTTGTCTAGCTTACCTTTCATTATATTATGTGAAGCTCAGTGTAATGACTTTGACACTTGTCTAGCTTACCTTTCATTATATTATGTGAAGCTCAGTGTAATGACTTTGACACTTGTCTAGCTTACCTTTCATTATATTAAGTGAAGCTCAGCGTAATGACTTTGACACTTGTCTAGCTTGCCTTTCATTATATTATGTGAAGCTCAGTGTTATGACTTTGACACTTGTCTAGCTTGCCTTTCATTATATTATGTGAAGCTCAGTGTTATGACTTTGACACTTGTCTAGCATGTCTTTCATTATATTAAGTGAAGCTCAGTGTAATGACTTTGACACCTGTCTAGCATGTCTTTCATTATATTAAGTGAAGCTCAGTGTAATGACTTTAACACTTGTCTAGCTTACCTTTCATTATATTATGTGAAGCTCAGTGTAATGACTTTGACACTTGTCTAGCTTACCTTTCATTATATAATGTGAAGCTTAGTGTAATGACTTTGACACTTGTCTAGCTTACCTTTCATTATATTATGTGAAGCTCAGTGTAATGACTTTGACACTTGTCTAGCTTACCTTTCATTATATTAAGTGAAGCTCAGTGTAATAACTTTGACACTTGTCTAGCTTGCCTTTCATTATATTATGTGAAGATCAGTGTAATGACTTTGACACTTGTCTAGCTTGCTTTTCATTATATTATGTGAAGCTCAGTGTAATGACTTTGACACTTGTCTAGCTTACCTTTCATTATATTAAGTGAAGCTCAGTGTAATAACTTTGACACTTGTCTAGCTTGCCTTTCATTATATTATGTGAAGATCAGTGTAATGACTTTGACACTTGTCTAGCATGTCTTTCATTATATTATGTGAAGCTCAGTGTAATGACTTTGACACTTGTCTAGCATGTCTTTCATTATATTAAGTGAAGCTCAGTGTAATGACTTTGACACCTGTCTAGCATGTCTTTCATTATATTAAGTGAAGCTCAGTGTAATGACTTTAACACTTGTCTAGTATGTCTTTCATTATATTATGTGAAGCTCAGTGTAATGACTTTGACACTTGTCTGACTTGCCTTTCATTATATTATGTGAAGCTCAGTGTAATGACTTTGACACTTGTCTAGCTTACCTTTCATTATATTAAGTGAAGCTCAGTGTAATAACTTTGACACTTGTCTAGCTTGTCTTTCATTATATTATGTGAAGCTCAGTGTAATGACTTTGACACCTGTCTAGCATGTCTTTCATTATATTAAGTGAAGCTCAGTGTAATGACTTTAACACTTGTCTAGTATGTCTTTCATTATATTATGTGAAGCTCAGTGTAATGACTTTGACACTTGTCTGACTTGCCTTTCATTATATTATGTGAAGCTCAGTGTAATGACTTTGACACTTGTCTAGCTTACCTTTCATTATATTAAGTGAAGCTCAGTGTAATAACTTTGACACTTGTCTAGCTTGTCTTTCATTATATTAAGTGAAGCTCAGCGTAATGACTTTGACACTTGTCTGACTTGCCTTTCATTATATTATGTGAAGCTCAGTGTTATGACTTTGACACTTGTCTCGTTTGCCTTTCATTATATCATGTGAAGCTCAGTGTAATGACTTTGACACCTGTCTAGCATGTCTTTCATTATATTAAGTGAAGCTCAGTGTAATGACTTTAACACTTGTCTAGCATGTCTTTCATTATATTATGTGAAGCTCAGTGTAATGACTTTGACACTTGTCTAGCTTACCTTTCATTATATTATGTAAAGATCAGTGTTATGACTTTGACACTTGTCTAGCTTGCCTTTCATTATATTATGTGAAGCTCAGTGTTATGACTTTGAC